AATAGATTTTTTTGAGTTTTAACCCTTTTGGACTTGATCCCTCAATGACTCTTTTGGCTGGAAGCTGCCATGTTCTCCTACTAGCTGTACAACATAAGCATGTCACAGTTGACTGAGTTGACTGTCATCTGAGAATATTCACATTACAAACTTAAAATGTGATGTTATCCGGTTGAAGTTTTGAAGAACCCACCAACAGCTAAACTTATCAGAAGTCCCCCCGTCCGAGTAGTCGAGGGAGGGACTTACGGCTAATGTCCTGTTTGTATAGTCACAACAGCAAGAATTTTGGCCATTTTTCCGTTTTTGGCCATTTTGAGGGCTCCAAACCTCACAGAATCTTACATCCAACAGCACCGAGCTTCCTTGACATCTTGTCACTACAAGAAACATAACATTTTCTGGTCAGAAAATTAAATTATTTGTATACAAAAATCTGGAAAGGTCAGAATCAGAGCGAAAAATATGAAAAATATGCATCCTGTTCCTTGGTTTGAGATCTCCAATCTGCATATTTTTCCGTATTTTTAGGGTTCATATTGGTGAGTGTACTAACAATACACCCTCATAATCATCAGATTACCACCTGTAACGGATGATGAAATTTGGCTGATCAGTGCTGAGAGAAAGTTTTGATTACTATAAAACCCCATAACTTTGTCAATTCTGGCTCAAAACACTTGATTTGAGGTGCATTAGAAAGCTGAATTCCTGAACTACAACTCTCATTGCGACACACAATGTGTAATCCAAATGACTGACATTCTATTTGATGATATGTGAAATTCAATTTCATTGGGGATATCTTTCTTTGAAGGCCCGCCACGTATTTGCTCCATTTATGAGCTACCTTAAGGCAAATACCAGCTTTCCAATGCACTCAAAATCGAGTGTTTTGAGTCATAATTGACAAAGTTATGGGGTTTTGTAGTAATCAAAATTTTCTCTCAGCACTGCTCAGCCAAATTCCAGCATCTGTTACAGGTGGTAATCTGATGATTATGAGGGTTTATTGTTAGTACACTGACCAATATGAACCCTAAAAATACGGAAAAATATGCAGATTGGAGATCTCAAACCAAGGAACAGGATGCATATTTTTTCATATTTTTTGCTCTGTTTCTGACCTTTCCAGATTTTTGTATACAGATAATTTAATTTTCTGCCCAGAAAATGTTATGTTTCTTGTAGTGTGTGCGTCTCCTGGTCCTGGTTTCAGACAACATCCAGCCCGCAGCGCAGACTGCGAGCCGCACTCTGCGCCTGCGCTGAGCCACAGCGCATTTTATTTTGACAAAAACACCCCTGTGCTTCCCGCACCACAGGGGATCTTGAGTTTCTGGACACTGCGTCATGGCACAGTGCAGGTACAGAGTTTTCAGGGTCACTGTGCATCACTGTGCCCCTTAAGACCACGTCTAGAACTCCTTTTAGACTTGTACAAAGCAATATGTATATGTTGATGAACACATTCTAATTAAATAATGAAACACCTTGCTTCAAGTTCTGCTCAACCCTTGTGCTAGCCTCAAAAGGACTTGATCCCAATGAAAGTGTTCCATTTCATGTTGTTCATCTAACTTTGAAACTGGTTGCATGGAACCATTACGGTTATCTTCTTGCAAGACCAGTTGGCAAGTTCCTCATTAGACACGGACTGCATAAAAAGATAAGTTTGAATTACATTCAACTTTCTTTCTTGTTTTTGAACAAGGTGTGGCTGACATTCTTTGAATATCTTATTACTACACATGGTTGTACAGACAACAGATTTGGGCTCTTCAAATCCAGTTCTGGCTAAAGACCTTGAGAACATGTTCAAAAGTGCTGACGATCCGGTATATTGGAATTCGTCAAGCAATCAAATCAGATGTTATTGTCACAAATTAGCCCTGACCGTCAAATCAGGGTTTCAATCAATCGGCTTCAAGGATTCAGGTCGTTGTAAACCTTCAGCACCAGCTGGTAAACGCCTTCGTCTATTGATTCCAGACAGTGCTCTTTGCCCTAATACAACCCCCAGTGACGAAAGCGTACCCAAAGACAAGGATTCCCTCAATCAAGACGACAGCGACTGTGAAGATGCTCCGATTGAATCCAACCCTGCTCCTGGCTTGAATATCAGTGATGACTCTGAAGTTGAGGACAATAGTGATCAGTACAAATCTCCTCAAAAAGATACTGGTTTATTGGTTTTTGCGCTTGAGAAGGTGTGTAGATTTCCTTTTCAACAGTGTCTCACTACACAATCTGACCAATCGTTTTCAAACAGATGAGAAGAGTCAACAAGCTTATTACCTCAAGTGCACCTCGCATCAACCACTTCAAGTCATTGGCTACCCAGCTGGGTTACAAAGGAAGAGGACTCATTGGAGCCCATGGACAACGATGGAACATTTGGTATGATGCCCAATCTTGATGCTGTGGAGCAAAAGCTGTGAGTCAGTCTTTCTTTCAATTCAAAATCCCCAAAATCTGATTACACATCGCTTTGTCTCAGGTGATCAACTTTATGCTCAATGTGGATCAAGAAGGATACTACGAGGGTATTAATATATCCCCAGATGAGTGGAGAGCAATCAAAGCTCTGAATGAAGTTCTTGAGGTCAGTTTCTTCTTTGATTTTCAACATTATCGATCAATTTTCATTATTATTGATTGGCTTCCATAAATATCATGATAAAGCCTACTGACAGTTTGAATCCAGGTATTCCTACTATCAACCAAGGTGATGGAGTCCAATCAACACCTGAAGCAATCCGCTGCAAAAAGCGGCAGCGGGGCGCTGGCGGGGCGGGTCGCCCCGCTATCGCTCAGGGATTTTTTTGTAGCGGCTCAAAGCGTCCCGCCATCGCTCAACCCCTAACATTGAGGTTGTAGCGGGTTGTTAAATTGGCGGGGCGATTTACATTTACGCCCCGCAGCCCTTACTCAGAGCGGCATGTAGCGGATTTTGCAAGTATTGACAGCCAACACTCTCATAGAGCTCTCATATCGAGATTGGACACCTGCGAACCAACATGGATACATCAGACAAAAACAAGTACAGCAAATACCCTTCCTACCTCTGCAACGTACCATAACCTCCATTTTTCAACAAGCCAAGTCCTTGACAAAAAACAATTATCAATGCCCCAGCACTTTTCGATGACCTAAATCATATCTGGTAAGTTCTTTTCAACCCTTGATCTTCTCTTCAGAGGCCAAACTAACCCAATCCACCCCAATCCTTTCCTGAAATCCCTCCGGTCATCGCATCATACCTTTCAGAGTAACATATGAAGCATTCAAAATCAAGTGATCAATTAAAGTCGAAAAATCGATCAATCTCATCATCATTGGTTCACTCCAACAAACCAATCTACTGAATACCAACCTCTTACTCACAGAAATGCAAATCAAGAAATGTCATCAAAATCAAACAATCAATTTCAAGAAATATCATTCCCAATCTTGAAGACTTCAAGTTCTCAATAAGCAGGTCACTTGGAGGAAACCTTGTTTGACCATTTTTTTGTAGCATCTTAGTTTAGCTTCTCAAGAAGTTCTTCTGGAAAAGCACATCAATAAATCTGATTCTTGATCTTAAAGAGTTCAAATCATCAATAAACACCTCACTTGTAGACAGCTTGCTTGTTCAAACAATTTGTGTACCATCTTACTTTAGCAAAGAAATACCAATACTGAACTAATTTGAGCCAATTTTTGGACTTAGTAAAGACAAACAAGTTTCTATAAGCAATGATACATATGCAACTGATCTTTTTACCATGATCGATCGAAGTGGATGTAGAAATAGTTCAAATGCTTATCTGTACAGCCTTAGCAAAGAACCTCAATTTGTCATCAGACTAGAACAATCAGATGTTAAGAGTCTTGATCAGACGGCTGTGAATCAGATTTGAACTCACAAGTGTCCTTGATTCACTGTGTGGTGCTGAGTAACCCTTTGGATTATCTTGACCACCAAGATTGGCCCCCCAACTCAACAAAAAATGCAGGACAAGGTTTCTTCAAACCGCTGTACCCTTCGCCTCGGCCCGCTTGCTTGGCTTCAAAAAGATCAAAGCGGGGCGAGAGCGAGTCCAACAAGCGCACCGCTTTGCCAGTCATGTATCGGGTCTGAACATGCAGCGGGGCGACGGCGGGTTCAACATGTAGCGGGACAGCGTCCCGCTGCAAAAAAACCGGCCAAAAGCGGTGCGCAGCGGAGCGCTTCACGTGTTGGTCCAATGGACCAACTGCTGCTTCGGTTCTGTTCCAGTACTCAACAATCATAAGGATGCTTACAAAATTGAAGAAAGGTACCAATCAGGCCTCTCTAGTTGTAATGCTTGACACCATGATTGAACAACTTCGACAATATCAACTGGAAGCTCTTCATTGTGAACCAATCATACTTGCAACCATTCTGAATCCCAAGTCTTGAATGCAGTTTTTTGAAAAACACTATCCCGACTATGTATTTTCTGCGAAACAGTTATTCTGAAGTGCACTCGTATGAGGCACGCAAGGAGAGAAGCACACGGTCCATGTGCACGTACTGCCAAAAGGATCTCAGGAAGCGTCGCAGCATTCCACCTTTTGACCTAGACCTTTACTCTTTCGTCTAGATGAAAGATCAATACGTCATTCCTAATCAAGGTCTTAGTAATCCCAGAGGTTTTCCGGGATGCTGCGAAGAACTGTTAGTTCATATAAGATTGAGGTAGGCAGGCTCCCTGCAGAGCCGCTCTTTCCCTCTTTCCTTGCTCTTATTCATTTCCCTTACAGATTCCTTTTCACTTATTATCTATCATAAGTCTCGTTTAGACTCTTCCTAACCAGTCCCTATTTTTTATTCTTTCTAATAAATCAAAGAAATCCAAGACAAATAATCCATTTAAAAATAACTACAACAACAATCCAAACAACTACCTTATCATCCTTTCTCTTCAGACCACTAGAATAAGCTCATAACTATTCTTAGATTAATCGCTAAATAATCTTGCATAAGAAACATGTCTACTGACAAGTCAACCAGAAGCAAGAAGACCACCGCTGTAAATAGCAAAGGTCAAGCCGAAGGCAATAGCCAAATAGGCAACAACAACCTAGCGACAGAAGAAAGTGGATTAATAGCTACTATGCTAACTGGAAACAGCAATAATTCCAAAGACGAAACCCAGCAAAGCCAGAATGATGGTATGCAAATTCGATTAAGTCTAAAAGAATAGAAAGACAAACAATAACTAATCTATAAAATAATCATTTGAATGAAATTTAGCAACTACAACTCAAACCGAGCAATCGAAAACTGTAGACGAATCGAATAACAAATCAGTGAATGACACTATACAACATAACGATGAACAACAGTCAACAAAGAATAGTACCACCTCGAACACTGAAATGGTTCAAGATCAATCATCTTCTAAGAGAAAGACACCAGCTACAGCTAACACACCAAGCTCGAGCAAAGGAACCACCAAGGGGAAGCGACCCGAAGGAGGCACAAATGCGAAATTCGGTTCGGATTACATGTCATTACTGGCAAGCAAACCAACTAACGCAACAAATGGTGAGAGTTTTTCCTTTTTACCCAAATACGATAGGGAAAAGAGAACGTAAAGAAATCTAACATTGATGATTGATTGAAGCAAAACTCACACCATCTTCGAACAAACAAGACGAATTAACCAATGATGGAAATGAAGCAAATCATAACACTTATGGTACGTAGAGTAAATATACACTCTATAATGAAAGAAAGAAATCTAATCAATCAGGTGGAAATCTTTAGATTTGACAACAGATGAACCCGATGATCTCGATCTCAATGATGGGAAAGCGGTGTGGAACAAAGCTCTAGAGTTAGCATCCATAGGAGACATCGATGGAGCTTCGAGTTACTTCAAATTACACGCTCAACTAACTTCAAAGAAGAAGTCTAAAGAAGAACCAACACCATCACGAGAATCGAACGAAAAGAAGTCGAACAAACCAGTTGAAACGTCCTCATCAATGACAAAAGAAGATGCGGAGATAGTTGAAGAAGGAGGTTTATCGTTCATTCCTGGAGCCATTACGACTCACACCGACATTGGTTTCACACCATACTTCGATAGGAACTTGAGAGAGTTGAAAGGCCCAATTCCATTAACAATTTTCAACAAACAATGGCAAGAGTTAGCGAACAGCTATCATGTAGAGAAGAGAGTAAAAACCGACAATATTAACAAAGATATAACGACTTACACCGGTTATCCTTATCCTCATGAAATGACTCAGTCTTATGCAGCCTGGAATACGAACTATCGGAATTTTGTATCTGTTCTAAGAGACGTATACAAGTTCAAAACGTTTGCGAACTGGGCAGAAACTCACCAAGCGAATGTCGAATTCTATCACGAACGAGACAATTGGATGACTGCTTTCAGGTATGACATCAAGATCCGTCTAAACGCTTTCGCATTTTGTGTAACGCACAATGGCACGAACGCACCTCCAGACATCTCCCAAAGACGCGAAAACATAGCTGCTATATGTTTTGCCAAGACTCGCAGGTTAAACGAAGAATCATTCGATGACAATCCGTATGCGAAAGGTGGAGTTAAATATGGTTATGATTGGACAACTGGATTACCTAGAACAAGTACTAGTAACAACAATAACTCTCACCAGAACAGTCATCACTCATTTGAAAACAATAACTCAAATTCACGAGACAACAACTCTAGTCATAACAACACTTCAAATAACTCAAACAGAAGACCTAATCATAGATCAGATCATAATGGTATAGGATCAAGAGGTAGAGGAGGTTACAATGGAAGAAATTTCGATCCGAACTATGCAGCTAAGAAAGCAGCAGCGAAACAGAATCAAAGTGGAGGAAACGTGTAGGTTTCACTCAGATTTTCCCCATGAATTGCTCTTTCCGAACCATCTTTTTATTTGTATAACACTATCATCACTCGTTTAAGATAGATTCATAATATGTGTTCAATTTCAATACTCTCATTAAAAATGTTGTCATACTGTCAATCAAAGACCTAAATCATGTAGAGTTTTCTTGATTACAAATTTAATTTGTAGAGCGAGTTGAACAAAACCTGAAATTTGAATGAACAATTTTACTTATGTTTGAAATGTTTTGCCTTTTGTTTTACTTCAAATTGGAGAACAGAAGTAGTACGGTTCCAAAAACTGATCAGATGCGAGTCCCAACAATGACAAGGAAGTTCGAAAAAGGGACGAAAAGAGCGGTGTGGTCAATATCATGTGATGAAGAATTGCAAAACGAACAACATGAGAACCAAGAAATGCAACAAATGTCAGAAAGTGAAGAAAAAGCCAACGGAAAGAAACCACCGAATTGGCCAAAGAACATAAAATGCGAAATGAAAATTCCGGCATGGGAGAAGGCCTTGAAAAGTGCGAAACTGCTACCGGAATACCAAGACGTACTAGACGGTTTCCAAGACGGTTTCGACCAAGGTATACCGCAACACACTCTAGACGATCCAATAACCGGAGACAAACTACCTTACTTCACACCGCCAAATCATTCATCAGCAGTCCTAGCAGCAGAGAAAATCAAAAAGTCAATGGATGACGAAATACAAGCAGGAAGATTAATAGGACCTTTTACACGAGAACAACTAGCATCAATCTTCCCATTCTTCAGAACGAGCCCGATGGGCGCAGTAGTGAATAACGATGGATCGTTAAGACCGATAAACGATTTATCGTTTCCCAAGAACAAGAAGGAAACACCTTCTGTGAATTCATTCGTGGACCCTAAGAAGTTTAAAACGACTTGGGACGATTTCAAGACAGTAGCAGAATTTTTTCGATCTTCAAATGAATGTTGGTTATTAGCTATATTTGACTGGGAAAAGGCTTATCGCCAGATCCCAACCAAAATGTCCCAATGGCCTTATCTGCTAGTTCTGGATCTAGAGGATCGAATCTACCTTGATACACGAATAACCTTCGGAGGAGTCGCAGGCTGCGGATCATTCGGACGCCCAGCTGATGCATGGAAACACATCATGATAAATGAATTTGACGTCTTCACCATCTTTCGATGGGTGGACAACAATCTATTCGTCAAGCGGCTCTTATCATCAACAAACATGGATGATGTGGTAACTCGATCACAAGAGTTGGGGGTGCTGACAAATAAGAAGAAATGCTCAAACTTCGCCCATGAACAGAAGTTCATAGGTTTCATCTGGAATGGAGTAGAGAAAACCGTTAGACTCCCAGAAGAGAAACTCGAACAACGGAAACAGCAAATACTCGAATTCTTGACAGAAGGAACATTCTCATTAGATCAGGTAGAAGTCTTAACAGGAAGACTTACTCATGTCTCCTACCTACTCCCTCAACTGAGGTGCTACTTGAATAGCTTACATCGATGGAAATGCTCATGGGTACACAAGTTTGCTAGACAACACATACCAGTTGATGTGAAAGAAGACTTGAGTCACTGGACCGAAACTCTTAAAACCTTCAAAAATATGCGATTAATCCCCTTGTCAAAACCGAAAGAGATAGGTTGGGTGGGGGATGCTTCAACATCCTTTGGAATAGGAGTCATAATTGGACATAAGTGGTGTCAATTCAAGCTAAGAGAAGGTTGGGAATCGTCAGGACCCGTGAAAAGAGGTATTGCATGGTTGGAAACCGTAGCTATACGTCTAGGAATTCTCATGTTAAATGCGATGAATAGACACAAAGGACAATTCCTGAATGTCTGGACAGACAACACAACATGCGAAGACACTCTAAGGAAAAGAAAATCACGGGATAGAAGCGTGAATGATGAATGGAAAATTATCCAACACCTCCTTGTAGACTCTCAACTCGATGTGAACCCATTACGTGTTACCTCTAAGAATAACGACGCGGATGAATTATCGAGAGGAGTACCTACGGAACATGAAGAAAAGGATAGATCCGTCTTCACCCTACCTCTAGATTTAGTGAATGTTCTAGAAATCACCCCGTAAGTCTATGAACATTGACAGATGTTCCAGTTTAACCACTGAACTGACTAAGAACCCGCGAGGGTACCCTCCTCTCTTTTGGTTGGCATAGCTTCAAAAGGAAGAAGAGTGAGTTGACAAACAGATCGTAAAAGGACATGATTTCCAATTTTCAGAAATCAAACCGTCAGAACAACCTATTGAATGACAAATTCGAAGAAGTAATTTGATTATACAGAATTGTAACTAGCAACGACCGATAGATATGACGAAATCCAGTTAATTTGTTATTTGAAACAAATCACTGAGCTAGTGAGATGATACTGAGTTCTCTATAGACTCGTTAAGTATCGGACCCAGATACCAAGATCCTCCCCCCTCGTAACAAATCATAGCATATTTCTTACAATCAACTATGAATAACTCAAACGTACATCGACTTCAATCCTTCCTATCAGGTACTAACAGCCCAGGGATGTCTACTCTACAGTCTCACTTGATAAACGGATGGAGAATGAATACTCTGCTTAGCTATAACAGTGCAGTGAAACGTTTTCTAAGATTCTACAAAGAAGAGAGACAATCAGAATTCGAGCTACCAGCGACATCGGAAGACATCTACGACTTCTGCATCTCTGTAGGAAGAACCGAACTTAAAGAGTCAGATACCGACATCTCTTCAAAAACTCTAGCCAAATACCTCTTCGCTCTACAAGCTTGGCAATTGTTTCATAATCAAGAATACCCCCACTCGACGAAGAACACCGTCAAAATCATTCTAAGAGCTTCAGAACTCTCAGATGCAATGGCACCTCAGAGACCAACAAAACCTCCCGTTATGTTACATCACCTACTAGCCCTCTATCACGGTGTCGATAAATCTTCTCCTAAAGACAACGCGATCCTCGACTGTGCCATCGTAGCCTTCTGGGGGATGGCCAGGCTCGCCGAACTAACTTACACCAGCGCGTCAGACCCCCCGACATGGATTAACTCAATTCTGTGCAGCGATGCCATTAGGCCAGTGGGAGACCTATCTCACATTATTCTAATCGTTCGTGGAGCGAAAACGGCGCGGCCAGGAGAACAACAACAAATCCTACTGAATGCACAACCTAATTGCTTGTGTCCAGTAAGGGCAGTAATCAGACGCGTATCAGGATCAACGTCTCCGTCTGAATCACTGTTCGGGTATCAAGACGAGAGCGGCACACGAGTCAATCTGACAAGATCCTCGGTTGTTGCACGATGCCGACAGATATGGAGATCTCATGGTTGGGACACGATCTCCGGCCACTCCTTCCGAGTAGGTGGAGCGTCATTGAGAGCCGCCCTCGGAGTGCCACACGAGGATATCAAAACTCTAGGTAGATGGACATCGAATTGCTACAAGCTCTACTTGAGGGATTATACCCAAGAAGATGTGTCTACCACGACATCCATAATCCAAATGTTGAACAATGCTGATGATGGGCAAACGGCTTGATCGTAAGTGTGGGTTAGCGCAGGCTCTGGCTTATGATAAAGCCGAGTTAGGGGTTTGTCACTAACCCCACCACTCCGCTCTTCCCATCTTCCGTTTAGTCTCATCTAGGTGTTGGGACTTTCATACCCTGGCGTCGTAATCTTGGATCCCTCAACTAGTTCCGTAACTCAACTATTCAGAGATCACAAGTTTACCACGAAAAGGTGTGAAAGACCCCCCACCCAAACACGCGTAAACCTTTACGCGCGTACACTTAGTAAACACTTAGTAGGATATTGTTTATATAAACTTTTATAATGATTAGTAATTGAATCCATAACTTGTCACGCATAAACTAAAATAAGCGTGACTACCATAGAATGGTTAATCCATTAAGAAGAATGGGTAACCATTAAGACAAAATAATTTAGGTTTCTACTAGACATATCTAGTAGAAACATAACAAGAGTCTAACCTAAGGAAGTGTAAGAATGGACAGACTGTTTATTCGGAAAACAACAAAACTCAACCCAATATCTCGAGTACACCTTCTCCTCAGGCACCTCCCAAGGAACAAAAAAAAGTCAATCCCTTCGAAGAAATCAACGTTTTTGCTGAGGATTCAAGTAAGGATCTTTCAAGCGATGAAGAATTGGAACAGTACCTTTCTGGAAGATATGGATGTAATGTTGATATCCTTGAATGGTGGCGTGTATGTATTCATTTCCTTGAAATTGATATTGGTCTTCACAACTCATGATTTCATCTACTCACACAGGTTCATGAGAAGAAATTCCCTCGGATTGCTAAATTAGCTCGAGATTATCTTTGCTGTGTGGGATCATCGTGCTCTGTAGAGAGGACATTTTCCACTGCAGCAAATGTGGCTACTAACAATCGCGGTGGACTGGCTTCTAGGACAATCGAGAGGGCTGTTGGAGTATGCCAATGGCTCAAGCAGCACTTTGTCCCAAGCGGTGAAATTGGAGAAGCAATTGCTGCAGTTGAAAAGCTTATCAAGGGTAAGATTAAGAAGAAAACCCCTCAATAGCAATTTGTACCCATGTGATGATCTGGTTTAAGCTCTTATACTTGATTGTAAAATTTCTTTTTCTTTTATTTATCGGTCTTATATTGTTTATACTACAATCTCTATTTTTTGTGTGTGATGTCTATTAATTCCCATTTGCCTTTGTTTACAACACCTTTTCTATTGCATTGTTGCTTAATGCGCGAAATTGATCCTGCTGCCTAACATCTTGAAAAAAATGAACCCATGCCCACAGTGAACTGTGCTCTCACTGCGCTGTACTGTGCAAATCCGCACCGCTGGGGAATCTAAAATTTTCTTCACTGCGCTCGGCACAGGACAGTGGGATGGGTGATTCTCACTTTTATGGCACAGCACAGGATTTGCACACTCTGCGCTGTTCTGCGCTGTGGTCGGGCATTGTTTCAGATCTTCATTGTGGATAGATTTGATGCTATTGGGATTCTTGGACACCGTGTTTACAGCACACTTTAGTGGTCCTGTATCAAATTTGGTGCTCCAGCTTGTAACACTTTTTACAACTCTTTTGAGTGGGCTCAATCAATACAATGTATACTAAAAAACACACGAGGACATGTACAAGGTGCAAATGAAGATCCTTGCCGAAGGAAGCAAGATTTGATGAGGTCTGTGACCCTCATAATGGGCAAAAACAAAAAAAGACCAAAAATCTTGCTGTTGTGAGTATAAAAACATGACATTAGCTGTAAGTCCCTCCCTCGACCACTCGGGCGGGGGGACTTCTGATAAGTAACCAACAGCCCACCCGTTTCCATTTATCCGAGTTGAAGGCCTTCTCCTTCTAGTCAACCTCAACTTGTCTAAATATTCATCGCCGTTGAAATCAAATGTTTTCTGCCTCACTGTCAACTGCTGCTCTTCACGAGTCTCAACACCTCTTTGCTACCTCAAACGATGATGTCTCTGCTCGCTTCGAAGCCCAAGCGTTTGAATCCTCATCATCACCAACATCCGAGGCAGATTATCTTGATGGACTACCCGCTATATTTGTCCTAGCCGTCTGGGTGCTCAACTATGTTATTCCGCGCCTCTTCACCTTGTATTTCTACGTCAGATATTCCTGGCTTCAATCTGATCGACACACCAAGTCTTCAAGCCCCGAAGAAGCTGGTCTCTTAGCGAGCTCCGATACTGTGAATAGGACGTCTCATGGCAAAAATAAAAGCTTTGCTGTGTCGTCCAATGCGGTCTGCGAGGCTGAAGATCAGGTGATTGCGAGTGAGCTTCAGCAGCACGAATGGCGTGGTGTCTTGGAATACATCAAGTCTTCTCCTGTCATTGACTTGGTGGATGTAGAAAGATCGACTGACCCCAGATGGAGCCATCCACGATTGAAACTTTTCCTAGCTTGGAAAGATTGGATTACGACTATTGGAACGATTGGTTTATTTTGCGTTGGCTGTCTTCAATTTCGACACATCCTGCTCGGATCAGATTCACTAAACGCTGCGTGGCTTTTACCTCATGTTTTGATGTGGGGCTTGGCCTCGATCCTCTCTATAGTCAAACTTCGCTTATCAATGATTCGAAAGCAAGAGCATCCTGGCGACACTTATAGCAATCTTGAGACACTTCTCATTCCTACATATCTCCTCTTTCTACCATTTGCGTTCTATACCGCACGGGGCGCGATACTAGTTCATCTCGATCACTCATCGTCATCCGAAAGCCTTTATTTGGCGACTCTACAAGAAGCCAACTTTGCGATCCTTCTGCTTATTACTGGGCTTGAGCTTTGCTCTTCTCGGCCTACCAGGCTGCTCCCAACTCGAGGATTGACATCGAAAACATCACAGCCATCTTCTGTTGAAGTCATCCCACCACCACTGGAGCCGCGTAGTTCACTTCTTGCTTTGGCATATTACGCACACACCGATGGTTACTTATGGCGACATACTTTCAAGACTGCTACACAGGCTTCAATTCCTGATTTACGACCAGATGACAAGACAGCTGCTGTCCTATTTCGATGGAGACACGATCAGGCAGAATACGCAAAATTGGGAATCAAACCTAGTTTATTAAGATCACTCGCCTGGCACCTTCGTTATGAATTGCTCGGTCAGCAATTTTATGCTTGGTTCAATGCCATCGGAGCGCTTTTACCACCTTTCTTTCTTCAACATATCCTTGGCTTTATCTCAGCTAAAGCTGCCGGAGAAGACCTGCCTAATCACTTAGGTGTTCTATATGCATTTGGTATGCTATGTACGCAGGTGTTTTTGGCTTTCTCCCAGGCCGAGGTCAGTGGGGTTCTCCAGTCTCTTGCTAAGCTAGGCTTCTTACTGATCACATCTTTCTGCGCGCAATTTGTCTCCACCAATAGGCACTGTTCCTCGGTAGAAGGCTTTCTGTCCGAATTCGAGCTTTGTTTATCGCTCTGATCTTCACCAAAGGCCTAAGACGAGCTGATACTACACCCAAGTCAGCGAGTAGTGCTGAAACTTTCCCTACGCAAGACGCGACAGATGGGAAAAATCTGAAGGGTAAATATGACAATGAAGAAGGCGAAGGAAGGGCCTCGATTGGAAAGATTGCAAACTTGGTCTCTAATGACACCATGAGCTTGTCAGAAATTGGTGCCTACCTACAGTACGATTACAATTTAACGGTCATCGCTAGTCTGTAGTGCAGCTGACATTTTTTTTTCAGTTTTCTCTGGCCCGAGAGTGCCGTTCAGTTGATACTGGCGGGTGCGTATCTCTACATATTATTGGGGTACAGTGCTTTGGCGGGGATGATGTGCGTGGTGGTTGGTATCCCCATGCAAAGTTATCTCACCAACCTATGGTCGAGTACGTCTCATTAGCCCTTCTGCTAACAGCGATAGTGTTTCACCTTTCATACTCACCTACTTGAAAGCATGAGACTGACGTTTCTGGGCTTCTGCATGTCAGAGTTAGAGAGACAATTGATGAGGGCAGCGGATCGTCGCCTTGGTCTTACTGGCGAGATCATCAACAACATCAAGATTGTCAAATTCTTTGCATGGGTTAGTTTCGTTTGTTCAACCGTTTTATAAGCCACCCCTCACGCCGCTCTGTATTGTCTTTCGTCGTGAGGCAGGAGTCAAAATTCACAGAAAAAATGTCTGATCTCAGAGATGCAGAGCTCTACATACTCTTCAAGCGATTGTTAGTGGGACTCTCCCAAACGGCAGTCTCTTTGGCCATCCCTATCTTCGTTAGCATTGCTACGTTCTATGTTCATACCGAGGTCATGGGCCAGACCTTGACCGCCGAGCAAGCATTCACCGCAATCGCGCTCTTCAACGTCTTCCGATTCCCTTTGGGAGTCATGGCTGGGGTAAGCACTCAGTTCAATTCTCTACCGAAGCTGGCGTGTATCCTGTCTAATTTAAACATATCGCTAGATGATCGGTGGTCTTTTAAAATCCTATGTTGCCTTGCGACGGATCGACGATTTCCTCAACGAAGACGAGACTGAGAAATACTCGACATTATCACCGCCAGTTGAAGAAGAGGGCGACCCGCTCATCGGGTTCAAGGATGCTGCTTTCACCTACGGTGCCGTTCCCGAAGACGCTAAGGATATGTCAGGCTTTCAGTTGCGAGGCCTCAACTTTGGGTTCCCTGTTGGCAAGCTGAGTTTGGTGATTGGAAGGGGTACGTAGACTTCAACTAAGCATCTTGTGGTTTAAGAATCTTTCAATTCGAAGAGCTCATCCATCCATCTTACTCACCGGTGTCGTTTAACGGGTTGTAGTTGGAAGCGTGAGTGGATGATCAGCTTATCAATAACCCAGATTCACTTTGAAAGCTGACAACTTCCAACCATGGGACCCACAGGGGAAGACCTCATTGCTGCTGTCACTTTTGGGCGAAACTAATAAATTGAGCGGAAGGGCGTTTCTTCCCTCTCCGGTTGCTAGACAATCGGGTCTTGACCCAGCTGAGACATTGACCGATACGACTGCATATGCTCCCCAACAGCCATGGCTCTTATCCGATACAATCAGGAACAATATTTTGTTTGGCAGCGCAATGTAAGCAGATCATGATTACGCATCAAAATGAGTAAGATATTAAACAAATTACTTTTGCCCTCAGGAATTTGGCACGCTACAACGCAGTCATTAAGGTGCTCTAACATACCATATATGCGATTATCCTGAGACTGACAAGTTCGCTTATAATTAGGCGTGCGCTTTAGTACCGGACCTCCTCACATTCACTGACGGAGATTTGACTGAGATAGGCGACAAAGGTTAGTAGTAAGAGTACTTATGAAAGATGTCACACCCATTGAAATACTTGAATATGCTAGGTACCGTTCTGAGTGGTGGCCAAAAGGCTAGGATTTCTCTGGCTCGTGCGTAAGTAATGTATCTTACGCATTTTGATCAGGATTATTTGAACTGCTACCAATTTTGTTGAAGTGTCCGCTCTGGCCATTCGCCTTTCTCCACAGCGTTTACTCTCCCGCCAAGTTTCTGCTACTCGATGACATTATGAGTGCAGTCGACTCGCACACTGCCCAACATCTGTTTAACAAAGTTCTTAAAGGCAGTCTGATGAAGAACCGAACATGTGTCCTTGTCACACACGCAGTTGATCTTTGCTTTCCTGGAGCTGCATTCGTAGTCTCCCTAGACCAAGGCGAAGTTGCCTATGCAGGAAAACCTTCCCTTTCAAAATCGGCTTCTTTTCTCTTTGAGCCAAAACAACACGAGATCATGGAAGCGGAATCTCATAAAGATCAGACTATTGAAGAATTGGCCGGACCCTCTGCGGAACCTGCTATTGCTCTTGCGACAAAGGCAACCCAGAAATTAGTCGAGGATGAGCAGCAAGCGGTTGGAGCAGTGAGCTCGACGGTCTATCGGTAGGTATTACTTTCTGAGGCTATCCGTCATACTGATTGGTGTGCTGAGGCCTTGGTCGAAGATTGTATTTCAAGGCCCTCGGAGGCTTCTTTCCGATAGCATTCACACTTGTTCTTTACTTTATATCAGAACTTGCCAACGCAGCCTCTTCAATCGTTTTGAAAGACTGGGCAGGTCAGACAGAAGGGCAGACAGTTGGCTCTACGTGGAACCCAGGTCTTTATCTTTTCAACCCCACGGTCACGATAACAAAGATCTCGCGCGAGTCTCCCGATTTACTGTACTGGAATCGGCTGGAGAAAGACTTTACCACTCAAGACATCTACGCGGGCAGATATCTGCAATGGTACACTCTTGCGGGGCTGGTCACCCTTGCGTTCCAATTGTTTCGACAATTTTACTTCACAATGCAAGCCTTGAAAGCTGCTCGAAACATATACGATTGCTTGATGCGCACCGTATTGAATGCTAAAGGTGATATCTCATATAATGATGAATACCAACAGATTACTGAGATTCACATCTATATAGTGCGCTTTTTTGATACGGTGCCCATGGGCAGAGTCCTTTCACGATTCACAAAGGACGTTCAAACAATGGATCGTGATCTATCTGACACACTTACTTACCTCATCAATGATATCATCTCCGCCTCTTTCATCTTGATCGTTGTTGTCACCGTCTTGCCGATAGGCTTTTTAGTCGCATCACTCGTAGCTTCATCCTTTTATGTTTTGATAGGGTACATATACTTGGCATCTACTCGAGAAATTAAACGATCTGAATCTACTACACGTTCCCCTGTCATCTCCCTTTGCACAGAATGTGAGTTATATTACCACAAACTCTTGTGAACTCGCAAAACCAAAGTTCTCACACTCATCTCTGTTTGTAGGTTTACAAGGTGCTACTTCTATCCGGGCGTATGGTGATATCGGACGTTTCAGTCATGATATGTTCCGTAAGATAGACCAGTATAATCGACCGTACTTCATGCTTTGGGTTCGTGCTATTCATCTTGGTAAATCCATTGGAAGCTGATTTGACCTCTGCTTTGAACATTAGATTTGCAACAGGTGGCTCAGTAGTCGTATTGATGTAGTGAGTCACTCTAGCTGCATCTATCGGTGCACGCTTCAAAGTACTGATTATGAATCTTTCTCATGAACTTCCTTGTCATGCACCTAGACTGCCGCGCTATTCACCTTTGCCGTCGCTGTAAGCTCTCAGACATTTATTGGTTTCGGTTCATCTTTCTGTGCTCAACACCCAAAGGATCGACAATTATTCATCTTACAAATTCTTTTGTTCAGTGTTGGATGATCCTACATAATGCCTCTGCAGCCTTGTCCGGCTTTGCGCTTTCTTATGTGATTTCATTCAACTTTCGAACGTGAGTGACCAGATAAACGTCGTGTATCAATAGGCTTGTTCATTATGTTTCTGCCGAACAGTCTGTGGATTGTCCGATGGTGGGGTGTGAACGTAAGTTTGACAGCATCTTCCATACCCAGCAGAGATAACTTACATTAGTGCATCCTCCAGGAAATTAACATGAACAGTGTCAGTATGCCCCAGCGACAATTCTCTGACCCGCGATGTCGTCATGACTGAGGACCCTTTTATGTGGTACTCGACAGTTGGAACGTATCCACGAGTACCTTGACATCGATCAGGAACCTAAAGCAGGGGTCATTCCTCCTGCTGCTTGGCCTTCGCGAAGTGGCTCAATTGAGGTTGAAAATCTTTGGGTATCATATGCGCCGCATCTACCTAAGGTGCTCAAAGGGGTGAGCTTCAACGCTCAACCGGGAGAAAAGATTGGTAAGTCTTGTACGCGAGGTTTCAAGAACGTTTTCAAGTCTTCTGATCATCTTCAAGCTCAACAGGTATATGTGGACGGACTGGTAGCGGCAAAAGCACGCTTGCGTTATCGTTCTTTAGGTTCATCGAGGCTTCAGAAGGTAGAATTGTGATTGACGGACAGGATATCTCAAAGCTTGATCTTCCCAGCCTGAGAAGCAGACTTACAATCATTCCGCAAGAGAGTGTACTTTTTACTGCGTGAGTACTACAATTTTTATCCTTGCTTGCAGTATGGTCTCTGATTTGTTTCCTATTTATAGGTCTATCCGATGGAACTTGGATCCCTTTGACGAACACGACGACAGTAAAAGTAAGTCGGCTTTTGATAGAAGGCTATGTGTTATTTACCGGTCATGTACTGATTGGTAAGTAGTATGGGACGCTCTCCGCCGAGTCGGTATGGCAGCTCCGTTGGGCCTAGTAGGTGATGGTCCGAGTGGTAGTAGAAGCGGTTCCCCGGGGGGTCATGAGATCTCCTATATCAGTAGCTTAGATATGGAAGTAGAAGACAATGGTCGCAATTTTAGCACAGGTGCGTTCTTTCCAGCTGAGCATTCCATTGCTCAATTGTAATCTTGGTTAAAATTAAATCCTGTTCAAACATCTCTAGGGCAACGACAATTACTTGCAATTGCTCGTGCGCTTTTGAAATTGCAAAATTCGTCGGTTCTCATTCTGGATGAATCGACTGCTAGCTTGGGTGAGTCTTACATCGCAACTTTTGTTTTACATCATGAGATCTTTCCTGCCTGAGAGCAATCTGCTCAATGACATATGATTCACTTTTGTTACAGATGCCGAATCTGACGAAAGGATTCAAAAGACGATTAGAACAGAGATGTCAGGTGCAACGATCCTCTGTATTGCCCATAGACTGAAGAGTATCATTGAATTTGATAAAGTGCTTGTCTTGGGATTAGGAGAAGTATTAGAGTTTGGAAGACCAATTGACTTATTGGCAGACAAAGGTTCAGCGTTTAGAGAACTATGTGGAAGATCTGGTAACATGGAAGAATTGTTAGAGATGGCAAAGGTTGCATCAGGAGGAAAGGTCATAAATTGATGATGACCTCTTTAGTTTCATTTTTATAGAGTCCTATATGTTTGTTTCTTTGCAATGTTTTTGATCGTGATTGAATTGTTTTTATGTTGTTTTCTTGAACTCAAGATTGACTTGTGTGTCTTAGATTATATCAGGAGTAGGACGAGGGGCATACATTCAGACTAAATTGGTATCTATGAGTCTTTTGTCAGTGTTGAATGTAGTTTTAAGAAATCATGTCGGTATGACTGAAAAACCTCAAAATTGACCTTTTTAAGGAAATTGGATCTCTCCTGGACAATGATCTGCTACTTCAGGCTTAGCCATACTTTGTTGTGATTCTGATAAGTTGGATTGAGGCAAATGCAAAAAGACTTATCTGAAGTTATACCATCACTGGAAAGTTCCATGCACACATTACTTTTCTATACTCCTGGGAAAAGACGTCATTTGGTGTAGTGTAGATCGAGACAGGAATCTGAGCAATGATGAATGGAACTTGAACAAACATCAGATCAAGAGAAGAAGAACAATCCTGCAGCAACCATTTAACCCATGCCTCCTACAAAAGAATTGACCAACGAACCTCTCATGTTATCAAACCTCCTAAGATAGCAACTCCAGAGAATTTTGACGGAGCCCAAAGGCTAGAAATTTGAAGTTATCATAAATCAGATCAGCTTATACCTGCAAATGAACACAGCCTCATTTGTGAACAAATAAGCACAAGAAGACTTTGCCCTATCATACATGGACAGTGAAGCAAGCTTGTGGGGTCACATGCTAACTGATCAATTACTCAACTCAGACCAAATGCAACTAGTAACTTGGAAGAAATTATTAGAGTGTTTCAAAGTCGCATCATTTGATTCAGAGTGTATCAGCAAATACAAAAGAGAACTCCAAGCACTACACCAAAAACCCTAACCCTAAGTCACCAAGTACTGACAAAAATCTTTGAGCTCACTTTAATAGTTAAAAGCCTGAAGAGATTTTGATATCAGCTTTTATGGTACAAGATACTTTTTCTGATATAGAAGAATTAGAAAAAGTAGCTATGAAAGTAGATGATAAATTCAATAAACAAGTCACTGAGGCCACTCACCACACCACCAGCTCAAGCACCTTGAACAACTCTAAGCCTACTACAATTGTTGATCCCAATGCAATGGAATGTTCAGCAATATACAGTTTTACTATCTCAAATGACAATTTCAAAGAAGGAGGAATGACAAGTGCTTGCTATAGCTGTGGAAGTACTGAAGATTAAGCACAGCCCCAAGCTGGTAGGTACTGGCAGGCCAGAAAGTCCCTCGAACTTCAAGAGGACTTCAAGCAAACTTCAGAAAGATTTCAAGCAAATTTCAAGATGTTTTCAATGGTTTGTCAATGTAAATTCAGCTGAACATAAGATTGAACACAAGTGACATGATTGCATTATACACAGGGAATCTTTGATATCAAGCAATTGGTATGATTATGTGTGGATTACATCCTGTTCAATGAGGTGGACAATAAGAGGGCTCAGGTCAAGATTTTTATGGTCTTTTCTTAAAACCCCGGGGAAACATTGTACAAATTATTTACATAAATAATTTGTTTTGTAAAACAAGATAGTCAGCAGCCATCAACAGCCATCAACAACTTCTTGAGAAGACACTAGGGGGTTTCAAGTTAGGATATTTTTGCATAAAAGTCTCACAAAACAGACAGGTTTTTAAATTTGGCAGTATTATTTTTCTGCAAATCTATGGTTGACAGCATTTGGGACACCTTTTTTTCTTTCCGTTCACAGTATTTTTTTTAGTCTGGGACAAGTTGTTGTACTGGAAAAATACCATGAAAAACTTGACTTCAAACCCCCTATTGATCCCTATTTTTTTATTTTGGGGGTGTTTGATGCTTGTAATATTGGTCTTTAAGGCTTTCTTTTCTTTTTCACTTCATGTGGTTTGTCTAGTCTTCTTGGTTTTATAGTTGTTTGGAATTTCTCATCACTGTTAATATGCATAGAATTACTGCTCATAAAAATTTGGGATGTTGCTAAAGAAATCCCGAATTTCTAAAATTTATGCAAAAATTCACAAATTTGGGATTCTTCTTTTGTGGTCCAAGCTGCAAAATTGCTTGACCTGAGTCCCTGTAATGTACCATGATCAAAAAGACCCAAAACTTGACTGGTTAATTTTCATAAGCATATACAAACTGATTATAAAACAGGAGGTAAAAAGGTGACCTGTTTCAAAATTGTTTTACATAAAATTTGAAACAATGGGCAAGTTTACAAAATATAAAATTACGGAAAAATACAAAGTTGAAACCTCTTACTATACTACTTCTACTTCTACAGCTTTCAGTCTCAAGGCAGTTTAACAGACTTGATGTTGTGTCTTTTGAATTGCTCTGCCCACTAGATAATGCTTGATTCTGTGAGAATGATATCAGAAACTCATGAAGTACTTGTTTCAGGAAAACATTGATTGAACGATCCGAAGGTATTGGAAGTTTTGCTTTCCCTAGTGAGGATTGAGATCACGCTTAGTCTTATGAAGAAAGACTATAAGTGATCAAAAGGAAACTACAATCTGTAGAGAAGATTGTAACACAATAAAAGAGTTGAGTTGGATAAGGAGAAATAACAACTTGAAGATTGGGTTGTACTATGTATGGTCCTAAAGAACACACCTATGTGTCATGATGATAGAAAAGAAACATATCTTATAATGTGCATTTAAGTAAAACGGTCTGATTGTGTAATGTGCCTAAGTGATCACTTTGTGATCCTGATTGATTGTAGTCCCCCTTGTTGAGGATGATGGGCTCTTCACGTTGTAGCCGAGTGAGACAATGAAAGGCCAAACAAAGCTTAGGCCAATCACAGCAAATATAATACAATCTGGTTGGCATTTGCCAGACATCCAAGCAGTGAGAACAATATCCTCAGAGGGTACAGAAAGCTCCAGGACATCACTGAGAGCTTGAGGACCATACCAAAACTGATCCCTGACCAGAGATCAAATATTGGAGGCATCTTGTAAGCAATCATCTGTCAAGCAAAGGAAAGACTCTGATTTGCAACTCTTTCTAATTGTGTTTGGAAGCATGTGCAGAAACCTAAAATTATGGAGCCTTGTAGGGCAATCTCATTCCATATACAACAAAACACTTCAAAAGCAATCATGGTGAGTTATACAATGATTGTGCTCTTTTGTTTCAATTGAAGAATCATTTGTTTCTTGTATCATCAAATACTCTCTTTTTAGGTTTCTCTTGTGAAAACTGCTTGTGAAGCTAAGGATTGTTTCTATCTACATACTTGCGGCTTCATTATCTTGAACGTGATTTGGCACTGGTGAGCCTTGGGCATCTTTATTCAAAGGTCCAAAAGCTGGCTTCAGAAGGAGATAAAAAGCCGACTTCAGGAATAATCTGAAGGCTGTAGAAGTAGTAGAGTGTATAGCACCTGTTTATCTTTGGAGGGAATGGGGTCTAAAAAAACCGGTGTCAAGCAAGTTTTCAAGTTGACGTGGTTTATCAAAGGCCTTCTTTCAAGCTCCATCATTTTTCATATTGCTGTGACCTTTAAGAATCCTCTTCAAGAATGTTGGTCCTGTAAGTCTTATCCTGATTGATCCGCTTTCTCATTTACTCACACAGGAAACAAGAGGTGATGTCCCTGTGGGAAAACCCATTGTATTTAACACAGTTGAGGAGCCAAATTGCATTATTTTGGCAATATTTCTGTGTTATCTCTGTGTTTTGGATCAGAAACTGCATTAAATGTAATCAGTCTTCCCACGGGAAAATCATATCTTGTTTCTAACTTAACTAAGTCCCTCTCGGACAAACGGGTACACCATGGGAGGGTTCTGTGCCCAAATTCGGTCGACCGCGGCCTGAGATCGGCCGGGTCGGATTTTGGCCCACGGGCGTGGACATTGGCCGTCCACTGGCGACCTGTAGACCATGAATTGTGCGGGCCATTCTGTGCGGCCATTTGGCCACCCTCGGACCATAGTCATCGCAGACCTGCTCAATGACCCGTTGAAGATCGCCGGAAGACCAGTCTTCAACCAATGACACCTGTCTCCCACCGTGTCGAACTCACTGGGTTAGGTCAAGTTTGATGATACCGGTGACTCGACCTTCCTCCAATCATCATTTTCCTTTCCAAATCTCTTTGTTTGACCTTACATTTCCCTTGCCAATTGACAATCAACGACTTCAGTTCCAACACCTCCGATCAACGTCATCCGACTTCGATACCATGTCCGTCTCTATTTTCAACAACCTCTCGCCAACATCCTACAACAGCACTTCAGTGTTGATTTCAATCATTCTCACAACAGCTTGCATTGTTTAGTCGCTACATCACCTCCATTTTAACGTCAATTATCTTCACCGCGACACTGGTCTCCTTTACCTCCGAGATTCCTGGCTGTTTTACCTTGTTCTCATGTCAAGTAAGTTTTTGTCTTGTTTCTTTGCATTTAATCTTCTGAATTTGATATTGATGATCTTGCTACTTTGATTGTTTTAGTCTATTGATCGATTTTTGAAGATCTTCACCGATCATATTGTTTTTTTCCACGCATTGTATGCTTAACAATCATACAGTTTCAATCTTATATTCGTTTTTAGGGTTTGTTAGCAATTTGGTATGACTAAACTACCCGGATGCGAAACATGGAATGAATTCTCATGTAAGTAAGCTCTCTTATTTTGTCTGATTTGATTTTACTGAAGTTGATTCTTGTCTCTATTAATCATTCATGTCTTGTTAGTTGAGTATATAATCTACTGTCTAAGCGATGAAGTCATGATGCGAATGAGGTAGTGTTTTTCTTTGAGATCAATTGTTACATAAAGAAATCAATGTATTAGCTATTTTTAATTGGCTTTTGTAGTGTTTGTAACAGAAATGAAATGTAAATGATTGAACAGGGTAATGATCAAGTGTGGACTTATAAACTACTGAGTTGGCCTGCTGGTGAGAGTAAGGATGATAGCAAAAATATACAACGTCTGAGGGCGCATCTCATATTCTACGCCGTCCCTTGTAGCCGCACCTTGAATAGTGTGCAGCTACCAGGGGCGGCTTTTTTGCGCGCCCCCGAATTCACTGATGGACCGCCTGCGGGTCGTCTTCATACGACCTCATTGCCGCTTTGTGGCTGTCCAACCGCCGTAGCAATAGGCCGCCGGCAAACGGAATAGCCTAGGTCTACCCACAGGCCGCCCATCCCTCTGCAGGGATGGGCGGCCTTGCAACGGCCGTTCCTGCCGGACCGAAGGCGGTCCAGACCCTCCCGTGGTGTAGTCAAGAGAGGGACTTATACAGTCATTCTCAGAAATGTTGGAAAAATCCAACATTTGGAGTAAACTTAACAAAGTCCCACGCTCGCGCATCCTTGCGACGCGTTGAGCAAGGGACTTACACCAAACTTGCACGATCCATAACCTCAGGGTTTTGGATTTTGCAGGGAGCGTCCTTTGAACGCTTCTACTGTTTTCCACACTGAGGATTCAGATATGGTCCAAAATAAAAAGTTGTGCGCCTGACTCCGGCGCATAATGTACATTTTTTTCCCGAGGAATGTGCTCCCCTCCACAAATGAAACATCTTCAAAGTTTGAGGTTTCAGAGAGATATAAAGGATTCACAGCTCTGATCATCGAGGTATGATGGAAAGTAATTGAATTTTCATCTTGAGATACCTGTCAAAATCAAAGTTTTTGTCAGTGTTTGTATCTGCGTGTCACTGCTCAGCGCACGGACCCCGAGCTCAGCTCAAGATTTTGCATTTTTCCAACATTTCTGAGAATGACTGTACCTTATAGCACAACTTTGGCATATGAGCCGGAAAAGTTTGGCTGGGGATGTTTTCAATCCTCCATATCTCTGTAGTCTGCAGATAACTATCCTCTGGACCCAAGAAAAGTTCTCTGCGCCTGATCATCCTACACACACATGTCTTTTCAAATACCTCCCTTGCCCCCAGTAACGCCCTCAAAAACAGACTTGAAGAACTGGTTTTTGTGTAACATTTCAGCGCGTTTGGTGTGAGCTTTTGTTGGTCAGTTTTCTGCCTGATTTTGGTGTTTTTTGCAAACTTCACAATTGCATTGCTCTTTAATTTTCAATAAAATTAAAGGTAGGCTACACGCATGTGTGTAGATTAAGCAGGCGCACAGCTGTTTTCTTTGGTCCCAAGGATGTTCATTTGCAGGATAGGTAGATATGGAGCGTTCACAACGTCCCCAGCCAATGTTTCCCGTCTCATAAACCAAAGTCGTGGTATAAGGTATAAGTCCCTCTCTCGACTACTCGCCTGTGTCACAAACTGTGTAGTCTACTTCGCTGATGCTCATAGCAATCACATATAAAACAGTCGCTTATGAAACTGAGCTCACAGCGACACATTGTTGAGCTTGTCGAATTATCTGTATGAGATGTCATGACACGGTGTTTGACAATCAAGCAGCAGCGTGGTCAATCCTGAGTGTTCAAGCTTCCCGTGATCGACCGGTTAATACAACCCTCATTGTTCTACGTGTAAGTTAGTGGTTGCGACGCGTCTTGCAGTATGATTTTAAAAGCCTGCCCAAAAGTTAAATCACGATCACATATTGCTTTTTTTATTGCAAGGTTTTAAGTGCCTCCTGAGCCGAGCTTTCCACTACTCACACCAGTTTACTTATTTGACTTCTCCAGATGAACCACATATTATCCTTTTTGTTTTTGGCATTTATGCTAACCTCAGGAGCGTATAGTCAATATGCAGTCATCGCGCATGAAGAAGAATTTCTCGGCCCGAGGATCGCAGCCCTCACAATACTCAAACCGATCGACCCGGATTTTCACTTTTCACAAGAGACCAAGTGGACTGACACCCTCATCTTGAAGGGTCCCATCGTGAAGACCCCTGGAGATAACAATGATCCGAACAAATTGAAGGTACAAAAAGTTGCACGTGCACAGGCCCAAATATGGTTCAAATCGAACGTGGATTGTATGAATCTCGTTGGCTTCTCATACACTCTGAGTAATCTGCTTTCACAAGCGCCATTGAGATCGCACAAATTGTTTGCTGTGAGGGTCTCTGAGGTACTGAGTGACCCGGCTTTGGAAATTACCAAGAGAATGTACTGTCTATATATCCTTCAAGTTCTACTGGAATATGTACCATCAAGAAAGCTAGACTTTTTGAGGACTAACATCCGAAGTGGTGCAGTATCGCGTGCTGGATTAGAACTGTCTTTAACAAAAGGTATGTTCGTCTTTTAGCCGAACGAGCGGAAATGTCCTTCACAGCTCTGAAATGCTTGCAAATCTTTATTTGTCAAACTAGGATTTGATCTGGCATCTGAAGCGCATAAAATAAGAAAAAAGGGAATGAACAGAATGGATCCAAGTGAGTCGATCATAAGGCTTTCAGCGGTTTGCAAGTTCAGATATAGACAATGACATTCATTTGAATAGTGCTATTTGAAGCCTTTCAAAGAGTTGAGCTTTTGGAGAGAATTCAGATGAGGTATAGACAAACAGGCGCATCACAACCAAGTAAAACATTGATGAAGTTACACGATGATTTGCTTCTGGCAAGCTGCCCACTCGGAGAGCTGGAGATAGTTTCACTGACTGACAACTGCATTCGACACATGATAGAAAATGATGTGTCGGAGGAAGATAAGCAAACTACCTATGAGTTAATGACTCATTCTTTTCAAAACAGCGATATCAGCAGAAAAACACTTAAAGCTCGAATAGCAACCAACAATGCCACCAAAGAACTCTACGATGAGATGTATAAGTGGATGAAGACAAGGAGGGAGATCAGCCTATACTTGTCACTCAATAGAGTCGATCCGTACATTACAAACCTTCTTCTTCCCTTCCTTGGAACTCCCCTACCCACCTTGGAGCACTACAAGTACATTTTCTTGTCTTTTGAAGCGCATACACAAGCAGAGGTCAAATTGGAAAAACATCTTCAAACGATAGCAGAGAAAAGAGTGACGAGACTCAGAGGAATGCAAGGACAATTACAAGATATGGAGTTGGAGACAGGACATGCACATCACATTGGAGAGGTATCAACAATTGAACAAACAACTTTAGAGAGAGAGCTTGAACAAGCAGATCAAGAGGATCGCGAGTTTGACCTTCAGCAGTACATACCACAGAGAATAGACTCATCAACTTATAAGAAATATCAGCGCTTTGTCCTCAAGATACTAAACATGGCAAGCCCGCATATCAAAGGTGCCAAGGCCTATCTAAAACAGAGCCGTAATTGTTCAGGTAGGACACCAAGCCTTTCAATTGTTATTCTGGATCCCTTCATCAGTATTGGTATCCGTGATCAAGATCTTCAGTTTATTTTCAAAAATCATCTTGCAAGAGCTGAGCTCAAGACTGATTCTCTACAGATCTAGATGCATGGATGATCCATTCGGCATCACTTGAGATATGAATACTGATCAATGCAAATTTCCTTATTAAATTTTCAAAAGATGGAGTTGACAGTTCACATATTCACAGGGCAGGAGAGGAATTGTGTACAATATGTCGTCATGAGTTTCTTCTTGGCCAGCGTGTGGTCAAGCTGGACTGTTCGAAACATATATATCATCAATCTTGTATGAGGGTAAGTGTCATAAATTCCCAGAATTCCTCTATGGTTTACTACATCCATGTATATCTGATTATTTGCTTCAACCTTTAGGGATTTCTGCGAGCTAGATGGACGGTAGCCCATTGTCCACTGTGTCGTACAGAGATTCAAAAACCTCTTTCTGTTGACAAACATATTTTTTTCCAGGGGAATTTAGAATCCCCAGCAGTGTGATATATCTCCCAAAATCTTCCCATATGTTCCATCAAATCTGTGGGTCACAAAACAAGACTTTTGTTGAGTTCTCTTTAGATCCCTCATCATTACTTGATATATCTCGAAAATAGCTTCCTAATTTTACATGATTGATTCCTGATCTCGGTCATGATGATTTATCAAAAAAATGCTACATAGTCATACATATCTAACCCGAGTAAAAAGTCTATAACATTGCTTTTGACGAAGAAGCTGCAAATGTGGTGCCTTATTCCATTGTGGAATCTGCTTTGATTAATTTTGCTTGGCTATGTTTGCCTTCATCATACTTTTTCATCAAAGTCATCCTCAGAAAGTCTGATGTGCTCGTACTACACAACGTATATACAATTCCTTTCCACATAATCCAATATGAATGATAATGGAGTCCCACTCTATTGGTCACAAAACAAAATCTTATTGATTTCTTGTTGCTTGGTATATCTGAAACATTGATCCCTATTGATATATGATTAAGTCATAAGCTCTTGCAGCATTAATGATAAGTCTTGAGTTACCAGTTGAGATCTTGGAATGAGTTGATCAAAGTTTTTTCCATCCATCGAAGTGAGTTTTCATACAATCAGTTTATGAAACATCGTCAGATCACGAATTGAATTCTAGAGGGTAGCGAACTTACTTTTCAACGATATATTGATCAGAAAACCCGAATATCATTGGTGGATTTGTTGGCGGGTGTATTGACTAGGCAGGTGGACGTGGTATTATTGATGGCTGGAGCCTGGTATTGATTCGTCATGGGCAATACTGGTAAATTTCAACCCTAACGGCCCTCAACCGCCCCCCAAAAAATTCAAAAAAGCAACCTTTTCAAGAAGGGCTGTAGGTATGTACTGCTCCTTTTTCATCACGCCCTGGCTCGTGTTCTTCACTATGTTACTAAAAAACCCTCACGTTCTTCCAAAGGTTCGTTCTACTTAGTGGTGTGTTGATTAGGACGTAACTTCATTCTTACTTTTTGTCATTTCGTACCATCAGGGACCGCTCCTTTTGCATCACGCTCGTGTTCTTCACTATCTTACTAAGGAACCCGTGCGTTCTTTCAAAGACTTGACCGCTCATACGAAGCGCCAAAGTGCGAAAATTGCATAATGACACTTGAATCTTGGAGTGTTCACGCCAGAATTTCACAATTAGTCATAAGCCCCTGTGCGAGGGCGCGGACGCGGCCGCGCAGAGAGGGCTTTGTTAAGCTAACACAAGCATTGAAATAATGATATCCGTTGACAAGTATATTTTTTGGCAAGGGAGTTTAGAAGCCCATCAAATTCAGCTATCCCTCACAACCTTGTCAACTTTATGACCCAGCAAATCTATTGTTGACAAAAGAAGAATCCTATTTATCTTATCACTTCGTCTCCCTCATCAACACTTGGTACACCTGGGATATTGATTGCTACTTGCGCACAACTGTTTCCTGATCTCTTTGGCCATGAGTTTTCAAACAACAAAAAGTACAGCATTCCAAACTTGATTCCAAAATCAAAAATATAATGTTTGAACTGCGCAACTTTAGTTAATCATAGAGTTTATTTTTCAGCGGCTTTGATTGGCTGCATTGTTTCTCGTCGCATGGTTCCACTTTTGTAAACTTCAATTAGTCCAACGCACCCGTATTTGATCTATTATATATGATTCTTTGTATGTCATCCCATCATCATAAACATCTTTGAGGAGACTTGAACCCCATCAAGCATTGAGAATCATCCAGTGTTGAGTAACTATGTACCTTCGCTATGGCATGTAAAGTGATTACTGAGAGTGCGAGATAAATGATCGGTTTCATTTTTTCTTCAATACATCAAGGAAAACTTTCCGATTAGCAATGGCTTGAAGTCCTTTCCGTTTCTCAATCACTCGGAGCTGTACCCTATCTTGACTCGTCAGTTCTTTTTCCGGTATCAATAATACCTTATCCTCCTCTTCATCCCAGATCATAGCCATTACCTCCTCTAGATACTGCTTCTGATCTTTCAAATCTTCGCCTTCGGAGACTTCCATTCCTAAAAACTCTTGTGATTTTAAAGTAGAGACTTCAAATAATAAAGTCCAATCTCCACATTTCTTTAAGAGTGTACATGCCTCTGAATCTGTATAAAGGTGACCAAATTCATCTAAGAATTGTGACATCAATTCGATGGCTACATCACGTGAGATATGAGTTTGAGGTTTACTTTGATCGGATGAAATCGTTCTACTTTGGCTAGATCTTTGCGTTGTACTTTGTTTATGCGGAGATTTTACTATTGGACTTCGAGAAGGACCTGGAGACCCCTCTATAGATGCAGTTTGGGGAGACCTGTCTCTCAGCTGTATAAACAAAGTGTGTTGCTTCAAATGATGTCGCGTCACAACATCACTTGTGTTTGACCGAGCTATACGTGAATGGTTGCTTTGTCGGAGCGGATGATGTCCATTAGACAGGAATCGTTTGTTTTCAACCAAAGTTATTCGAGAGTTTCTAGTCGTATCATCCAAAGCTTGATTCTGTTTGCTTTGAAAACCTTCCTTGATGTTTCTGAGTGATTCAAATTCCAATATGGGACAGAGCTCCGACTTAGAATCGTCCAGAGGAATTCCACAGTCTGATAGATTTCGTGACTCGCATTCGTCAGAAGAACTCGATGATACCGATAATGTCGATTCATGTGCATTCGGATTCCAATTGTCAGGAGAAAGGTTCTTCTTGCCGGATGCAGCCAGTGATTCGACTGTGATAGGCAGACCAGAAGAGGAGGTCGTATGTGATACTGTATCGCAAGGAATCCGACATGATACATCACCATTGATGTTGGTTGTAATCATACTCGGAGTGGCTCTCAAGGGCTTCGTTTGGAGCTGAATCGAGGAGGCTTTGGAAATAAATTTGACTGATGATGAAGTTGACAGCAAGAACGTCTCGCCTACAAACGAAGCGCCTGTGAGATCAAAACAATGCCTGAATGATATGAGACTCGGTAAAGCTGGGAGTGTTGCTCAAGACAATCAACTTACTTTCGCTGATAGGCTCGATATATATGATCCTTTAGCCGTATATGATCGCCAGTTGGCAGTCAAGTAGTTCTGGAAGAAAATTCAAGGCTTCAGTTGAATTCATCCAAACCCAAATCAAAAAGAGGATCAGGAAGGTAAATTAATTCGATATTCGGTCAACAGGACAGAGATGCGGATGAAGGCAGCCTTGATTACCGCCCTGATGGTATCCAAGACCTCTCCAACCTCCATTAACCAAGATTTATTTGACTCGATGGAGAGGATGTGGCCACAGGCATCCTACATAGGAAGATGGAGGTAGAGTCATCTACCCTCATCTTTGCTCCTTGCCAGCTTTTTGGCAAAGTCCCTCCAAATCTTTTGCTTTTTCTCAATAGGACTGCTAAGATATTCACCTCAATCCTTCCACGAGCCATTCAAAGATCACATCAATCGATCCACAACAAGAACGAGTCTTTCATCAACACGTTATACATATGTAAGTGATGTGACTCAATCGATTATCCTCGATGACACCAAGCATTCATCCGCAGAGCGCCTTGACGAAGAACGTTTAGGGTAGTGCTGACGTTCAATTTTTTTTCAAGAATTAAGGCTATTACTTCCAATCAAACTTCAGGATATAAAATTAATGAATAAACCATCAGCAGAAAAACTAATAACATCCCACTCTTTCAATTTGATATCGACACAAAATGCTACTACCTCTTCAATAACTTCAATTTATTACTTAAGTACAATTATACAACTAGTACATCAAATCTTTAAACCTGAAAAAAGATCATCAAACCAACAAAATATACTCAATCAAGCAATGACAAAAAAAGAAAAAAGGACTCTTTATTATTCCGAATTATGAAAGGCTGATATATCCATCAGGTCACTCATTAGGTCCTTGATCAGAGTCTAATAAAACATATTGTCGATCTAAAACTGCTTGTTTAGTCCGAGTCCGTTTAGCAATTTCTTCCACTAGATCTGGTGTGATAACTAATAACTCTGAAGAATCTGAATCACTACTTGAATATTTCAATTGAGTAAACCCTGAAGTGAATAATGCAAAGGCCGCATCATCAGGTCTTAGTTGTGTTGCGCGTGAGATTTCTTCTAAATTCATCTTCATCGAGACTGTATTTGTGGAAGTTTCAGTTTCTGATGCCTGTGCCCTAGTTGATCGACTATTTTGTCCATTCGTCATTCCGTGTCCATTGCAATTGCTTGAATTCTGATAATATCCTTCTGATTTGAACACACTTCTAAAATATCGTACTAAAACAGATGTCCAAAAAGCTAAATAACCCTTTGCACCTAATTCAGATAAAGGTCTTTCAGGTGTACCTAATACTACTCGATCTTCTTGTTCTGCCAAATATCGATCTAATTCATAACTAAACTCGATCAAAAGTGTACCATAACCTTTTTTCTGATAAGGAGGAAAGGTCACAATGCAAGCTAAATTATAACCATCATAACTAATCTTCTCTTTTGAAAAGAAACCTAAAACGTGATCAAAGAGAGGTGTAGTAGCTTCTGTGAGTATATAAAAATGAAATCCTTCAACATCGAAAAATATATATTTATGATCGATAAACAGTTTGCCAAACAGACAAAGACATTGACAGTATAGTTTTGCTTCTGATCCGTTGACTTCCCATATGATTCTTGCACCTCTTTGGTACACTTTTCGGCCTGGTGGATGTTTATATTGACAAAGTTTCTGAGAATTGATCAAGTTTCATAAAACCATGGGGATCAGTTATCGGAGTACACATAATTATACTTTCAATACACTTACTTTGTGTTTTACATAGGATTCGCATGATAAAAGATATTGAAAGCATCCATCACAAACAAACAGTTTTATTGGATTGGATGTATTAGGTTCGATACCATTCTGAGGAAGAGTTGATACTCTGGATGTGGTTTGAGGAGTCTTTGGATTTCGTGGGGAACGGACTGGGCTATCAGGTAAGATGGTTGAAAACGGGGAATGTTTGATCGAGCGCTGTGTATCAGGTTCTGATGCGACCGATGAAGAGAGAGACGATAGTGATGCTGAACGAGGTCTTTCGTTCCGTCGTCGAGCATTGCTGGGGGGTTTCTTTTCAACCATCTCTTCGTCATTTGTGAGGTCTAGCGTATTGGAAAGATTAATATCGACTGATTGAAATGAGACAGCCTGTTCTGCGTCCTTGAGTTTTGATTTCGGAGGTTTCTTCTTCTTGATGAACCGACCATTGCCGAGCCGTTTCATACCATTTAAATTAGAAGCGGGCTGTTTCTGGTTTTGAGAAATTGAAGTCGGATCGGTTGAATATGATCCATTGATTTGAGGTGTACTAGGTTGTTGATCTGAACCATCCAAGATATAAGGTGATGAATACCAAGGTTTGATTTCATACATTCCAAAGATCACCGTGTCGATCTTAACCAGTTTGATTTGTTGTAAATTGGAAGCATAAGATGATTCTTTCCCATTGTTACGTTTACTTGAGGAACCCTGTTAAGCAGAAGGTGTGTTATTAAAAGCATTTTCTTTAGAATCTTGTAGACGCGCTCCATAGAAGCACTGTACTTGTCTGAAGTAAGATTTGATTTACATTGGTGTCTGTGGCTGTCCTTTTACGTTTTCCTGGAGTATTCGAATTTTCGGTTAAGATAGTTGTCACACTCGCCAGTTCTTTTTGAGAGACTTTCATCAAGAACGCGAGTAGTGCTTGGCTGTAAACTATAGGAATGAATTCCTATGGTTACAGCGCGTCTGATTGAATTATCTTGTGTTTGGCTGGATGAGTTGATGATAATAGTTGAGGTATGCTTGAAGTTTGCAAATGAGATTGAGGTTGAGAATGTTTGAATGATCAGGATTGCAATCAAAATCAGGCTTGATCATCAAATCAACATGGTGTCTTTGGATGTGATACCCGATTCCGGTCACGCACCGAATGCAGAGTGCATGCGGTGCTATCATATGCGGTACCTGATACAGGTTTTCATATGTAACGGGTCGATCGGGTCAGCTGATTGACCTTTTTTTTTGATTACCGTTGGATCATTTTTTTGTTGACCAGGTCTCGAAGCTTTCGATTTGATTACTTCTTGACTCCTTTATCAATCCAGTTTCTCAATAATATCATCAACTATCTCTTCGACTTTCTCATCCATGCTCGCCTGTACTCGTCGATCAACCTTACCTTCGATCATCCTCGCCTCCGCCAGTTCACGTCCTCCGGCATACATTCATCGACAATTTGTTAATCATCTTGCTGGACAGATTCCTACTGACACAGATTATAAATTCATTTCTCATCGAGGTCCCGTATCAAAAACAAAGGCTTCTTCTGGGAGGAGTAAACCAAGGGCGCCACAACAATCTAGTCTTCGAAAACTTGTCAAAGACCTCAACGCAGAATGCACTCTTGCCGCATCTCAAAAGAAATTAGATCTTACACCTATCTTACAAATCGCTAAAGATAATGTTGGGAGGTTGACTGGAAAAGAATCTCCGGAAAAGAAGCTGAAAATTAAACTTAAGATAGCGGAGGAAACCCTCAGATTGCTCAAGGAGTCTCCTACGCCAGTCAAACTGGATCGAAAGGCCCAGAAGAACTCCAAGCAGTCAGCTGGCACCGTCACAGATACTCAATCACAATCTAACGCCGAGCCTCCAAACCAAGCTTCTTCTTCGAACTCGGCTTCAAAACAGGCTTCCACATCAAAGCAGAAAACTCCTCGTCCAAAACCTAATCCTCACGCAGAAGCTACATTGGAAACAGACATTTTGGCCTCACATCCACTCTTTGACCCTTCACAAGCTCCCGAACCTCCTAACTCTCCGGGAACCAAGCCAGACGCCAACTTTTCATTTTCGTATACTTCAATCCCATTCGAACCTGTCATTACATCGACCCCACAGCCAAAGGTAGCCACTTTAGCACATGGACTTTCAAGAGTCTTGTTCAATCCTGGCGTACATTGGCTACAAGATCCTCGAACAATGGTTTATAACTTTGATCATCGACTACAAGATCTAATCACACCTGATGAATTCAACTTTGATGCACTCACACCTTATATTACTAGCTCAAGGGATGAACAGCTGACTGGCCTTGCACATGAGAATGACAGAAAATATTGTGGGAGTACAAGTAGTATGACACAAACACTCAGTCAAATATACCTCATGTTGAACGGCAGCCGACCACTCAATGTAGGTATGCTCACCTCAAATGTAACTTCGACCAAGGCAAGTTTTTTTCATTTGACTCTTATTTCGTCTTGGCTCCATATTTCAATGCACACATCTCTTCATTTGAAAACTGATCACTTTTCACCATTTAATTCAGAAAAAGGTCGAATTGACTCCCGGTGCCAAGATGCCAGCATCGATTTTACTCAACTACAACGCCTCAACTGGTAAATATTCCATTGATTCCGACAAGTCATTTGAGCCTGACACTGAGTGCCCCGATTCCACCATCTTATCGACATTGGCAAGTTTCCTCGCCAATTGAAACTGACTTCTCTACGAGTTTGGTCTGATTTCCTTGATTTTCTTCACAAATAGGGTCATGTATTGGAAAAATTCTTTGTTTTACCTCACGATGAGTTTTCACAACTTCTGAAGAAAAACAAGGACGTGGTGGATCTAAATGAGACACGTGTAAGGGAAGCTTATGCATTTGGAAAAGTGAGCATTGTTCTTTCCTTTTTTGTGCAATCACAAAAGCTAATAGGTGGATATTTTAGACAAATTTGATGATGACTAGATCTCAACTGGATTGTCAACATGATTATCTTCCTGGGAACGGGACTTTTGATATCAAGACCCGAGCTACGATTGCTATCCGTCACGATAGACTGAACCATGCTGTATGTCTGTCAAAATCTCACTCAATCTGTCAAAAACTAGACCGAGTGTTCCCGACTGATATTTCTCACCTGAGGCAGAATGCAGCTGGATATCAGATTCGATCTTCTCAAGGCCCGCTTGAGTCCTTCGAGAGGGAATATTTGGATTTGATTCGATCTGCGTTTCTCAAGTACCAGTTGAGTCTCTACCATCCATTAACTCGTTTCTCGATCATATTCTCACCAGTTTCTCTGTTCGATCTCGATCAGGTTCCAAGCTAGGCTTGGGCAAATGGACGGGGTTTTCGTCGCTTATCATAACACTCAGCGTGTCTTTGGTTTTGAATATGTTCCTATCACGAAGATGGACGATGCTTTGTTTGGCTCCCATGAAGAAGGTGACAAGGTCTTCAAAATCTGTCTTGGATATATGGAACGTATTTTGGAGGATGCTACTACAGCATACCCAGAAAGGGTTCGTTCTTTACACCCTTTCAGATTATCCGAAGACGATACTTATTTTAAACACACCTTTGGGTATCTCTCAGTCTTTGCGCATCACATCTTTTGCCAAGGGACAGAATAAGATGTGGGTTTTTGTTCAACCAGCAGATGAGCCAGTCACCTTGGAACCCCCGAAGGAGTATACCGCATTCCAATATCAGAATCACAACTATCTGAATGGTGACATTGTCGACGATGGATATATCGATATCGATGCTTGGTGTCAGGCGAACAAAGTGAAGACAGATTCTACACAAAACGTCAATGATTCAAGGAATCCAACAACAACGACAGGGACAACCTCGAGTGCTAGTGAATTACGACGAAAGCTGGATTGGTCTGTGTATTGTCAAATGTGGAAACATTCGAAATCAGAAGAACTCGATGCACTTTACCGTTCGATCCGACGTAACCAGTTTGCAATCAGTCAACTTGTTCTACCTGAAGGCGTTGATCGACAACTAATGAGAGTAGTAAATTGGCCTGAGACAGCTAATGAACAGACCCCAGAAAATGGAGATGATATAACAGTAAAGACGGAAGAAACTATTCCAGACGTTAAACCTCATACATTTATTCCTACACCAGGTGTGAAATATAAAACAGAAGTTTCTTATTTAGTTAAACAATTAAGATCAATGGCAAAAGAAGGATGGGCATTTCAAAGAGAATTAATTCAATCACAAGCAGGACAAAAAGTTATAAGGATTGCACCGGTTGAATTTGTTATAGAAGATCGTGATTCGAATCTAAATCAACCTAGAAAATCAGGCTGTATCGTAAGTGAAGAAATTCAAAATCAAAGAGAAAAAGCTATTAAGATCTTGACCAAAGGAGAAGAAAGATTAAAGGAAAGAAAGATTTAAAAGTTTTTTTCGCGGGTGGGGTCTTTTCATCCATTGGAATCGTTTCTTTAGTGTCTGTTATTCTATTTTTGTCGGTTTTCTACATAATCTTGGCTTGCATTTAGATATAGAGGTAATATGGAATGTTTGTTACGTTATTGATTAGGTATATTGAGAGACAGCCAAACTCACGAGCAAGACTCATGGACACCAGCGTGATATCAAAAACGCCTATGTTACTGATTGAAGCCCGTTTGATCAAAGTGTCGTGAAAAGGACAAGCCATTCTACCAAGAAGTTCAGAGTCACTGAGCAAATCACATAGATCCACCATGAGCTCATGAGGTTGAAATTTAGTACAGACATACATATATGGTGTCTGATAGCGAAATCAATTTAAGTCTTCCTATGATCCCACTTGATCATCGCTACTTAGAAGGCCGTCAATTGCCTCTTCCTCATAGTTTGTTGATTCATTGCATTTACAGAGAAACTTTAGTCTTAGGGGTTTTGTTATTCTTTTATTTTTTCTTCTTCATTGATACAGACAGGTACACATAGGTAAGGACTAACAGAAATGTTTGAAGAGAGATTTTGGCAACTGTAGTGAAATGAAAGATGATCCTAGCCTAAAAAGCAAGTGGATAACTTGTTATGGGCCTTGTTGACTTTGAGTATGTACAGCTCATATGCATTCATCCTTGTCTGAAATTAAATCTTTGGGCCAGAAAATATTTTGTTTGATAGAAATAGGTTTTCGTATCGGAATGCAACACAATGGACATTGCAATCCTTTGCCCTTTTGTTTTCAGCATGTGAAGCTCTTACCTGATCTGGTGATATATATGTTTTAAATCAAGTTGAATAATTTGCTGCCCTATAAAGAAATGAGACTGACATATACAACATTTCTCTTCTTCTGATGTGTGTTCCTTTAGGTTGTTTTTATGAATCAATTTGCATTTTCTGGTCAATGAGGCATCAATAAGATCCAATCCGTCAGTATCAACATCTCAAACTGATATAGGTTAAAATCGAGTTTTCTATGTGAAGTCCAGATATCACACACTCTTGGAATGCCTTGTGATAATTTCTGATTCACACTAAAGAACTATAGATAAATGAAAAACAACCAAAACTATTCAAATTATCTGAGACAACACACCAATTCAATCCAGCTTGCTATCTAGATATTATTTACTGTTCTTGACATTTGAGCTGCCTTCATACATCATTTTGAGGATTTTTTTTTCTTTCATATACTAGTAATGTTTGGCTTCCACTGGCATGTACAGAGTCAGATCAAGTTGCTTGTCCTCTTGAGCCTCATTTTGATACCCTACTGTTGTGGAGGCATCTGAATTACCTGACACCTCTGTACAAGAATGCACTGGTTCTGAATGTACCTCTATCCCCTGTGATTGTGAAGTGTCTGTGTTGAATTTACTTACTGCTGCTTGTATATTCTTCTGAGTCCCTGATGAAGCCTCTTCTGTCTGTTTTTCTTGTGCTTGTGCAGACACTACAGCATGCACTTGCGCTTCAAAAGACCCAATAATGTACACATAGTGCCTCAATGTAGATGAGGGGGGTTACAAGAAAGGGATGAGAAGGTTTGAAATATAAGGGTCAACATCATTCTCCAAATGATATTGTTCAATTTCAGTTCTCATGCTCCCCCACTTGATCATATCCTCAAGGAGAGATTTTACAGCACTATTTTGATAGCATTGTATTTCAAATATTCTTTTACTTAGTCCATTTTCTTGTTGCAAGGATCTCAATATCTGGAAAGTATACCTCAGCTCACTCTTTGAGGATTCTTTTTCAATCATCATATGGATTCAATTCTTGGTCATTCATACTGCAGCCTGATCTCCAATTGGGTAGCTGGCCTTAAGCAAATCATCATGGATCATCTTGAGTCTTTTACTTGGTTTGAATCTTCCCGTTGGTCCACAATCTCTTTGGATTTGTTCCTAGAGCTCAATACTTTGTAGGGCCCCAAGCAAAACTGTGAAGTTTTTCATCATCAAACACGGTTTGGAGAGATGGATTACTCATTTAAAATTTGAATAGATTCATGTAGATGAGTTCCCTGTGTATGTGACACATGATGTGTGTCATTGCCATGTTCACAATGGGCAATGTCCATCAAGATCTCATAATGAGATGCTATGATGGTACTAAATACATCACTTCCTTTCTTTTCTCTTATCAAGAGCTTGGATTCTCAATCATGTTTGTCACTATCACATATTTCCAGCCATAGGGTTCACTTACAAACACACATTTGATAGTTACACTTATTATCATCTTTGGTGTGTAGACTTTGGATAATACCTTATCACTATTCTCTTATGTTAAGTTCTTGCTATTGATCTTTTGCATTATTTGAGTGTTCTATCATCTGATGGGCTGTTGAGCTGGGCCTAAATTTTGAAGTCAAATATTGTTTTCAGCTACATTCTGGCTTTGACCTTGAGGGGCTCAGTGTAATTCCTGATAGGGATTCCACTAGCCTTTGCTTCTTCATAAATTCAGATGCAATGGGCACAAATTTGATTGATTGAAAGAGAGTTCAAAGGACAGTGACATCTTTCAGTTTTTTATTTTTCAAGTCTCACTCTCATCCATAAGTGTACCCTTGATGTTCAGGTTACAGGATTTAGACTGATAGATAAGGTTTATCCAAGATAACATATATTTAGCAGTTGGCATCTTCCAAAACCTGTTAACTCTCAACCATGCAGACAAAAGAAGAGGCGCTGGACATCCATACTCTGAAGATACTATCAATGCTAGGTATTGATACTGCAGCACAGGACTTGCTCTCAAAATTATGAGTGAAGTCTTCTCAGCTAAGGATGCAAGTCAGTTTGTGGGTGCACTTATATAAACTTTCACAAGTGGAGTCTTTCTATCTCTTTATGTGTTATACCTCTTCCAGACTTTTACCTGGGTCAAGAAGAGAGAATCACCAGAGGAAAATGCCTTTCACACCTTTAATATTTCTCATACCTTGATACAATGATATGAAAGGTACCTACAGGTCACTTGAAACAATATACCTGCCATCAATACCCATGTGATGACATTATAGTCTTATAATTATGGACCTATAACCTCAAAGTGGCGGAGCAAGTTCAATCATATTGTTGCATGTATATTCTGAATGATACTGAATTTAAAGATATTTGATCTGGGTACAATGCATAAATCAAGAGTTCTATCCATAGAAATCCAGAGCAACTTTATGTGAGAGAGGATGCCAGAGAAACAACATGTAGTCAAGTAACACAATTTGTCATATGAGCCAACATTGAATTTGATTGTTTGAGTTTATTATGGTCTGATTATATTATACCAAGCTTTAAATGTTCCCTTTTTGTACCTTTCCCAAATATGTATTTATCTGCAAGACTTGCACCATTCATCTCAACATATTCAAACACAGAGTCCACCACTTCAGGTTTATCCGCACATGTGGGGTTCCAAACCGTAGTAAGGTGATCTGACACCCATTGCCCATTAGCTTCATAGAAAATTCCAATATGAACAGAATCCTGCAAAGACTCATTGTCCATCCAATCAATCCTGGGAATTCTGGTCCTGTCATCAACCCAAACAGCTGAGACTGTGGGGTTTAGCTTAGCATCTCCAGATACACTAGGTCCACCCCCGTTATACACACGTTTGTAGAGGCATGTGTATGGGTATGCACACACAAACCCCTGGAAGCATAATAGGGTCACTCCGGCCACAGATGCAAACTTTTTGAGTAATATTTGCATATTCCTGATCTTTCTATACTCAAATCCAAATATCATAACACATGTAAGCTCTCAGATCTTCAACAGGAATTGGAGATCAATGAAGGCTGATTGGAATGCAGGAAAACCTAGTCAAGATTTTTGAGAGAAAGATTAAGACTTAACTTGTTTATATGATACTGGAACCTAGGCTAGTGAAGCATTGGCAAGGGCAGAGTTAAATATGAGCTACCGCAACAAGTGTTCACAGAAGAACACAGAGAGCTTACCAAGATTTCTTGTGATCAACGGTGCTCAAATCAAATGATGATGAAGGAGATTGATGGAGTACTATCTAATTGGCACTTGAATTGAATACATTGTCAGGGTTGTGCGGCTATAAATAAGGCAATTAAATGGATGATAGAAGGAATCGGACTGCACATTTTAGACAAGGAGATATGTATGAAGGATGCTTTCTGGATTGATCTAGTTGGAGAAGGCTGAATCAAAAAATAAAGCTGGATTCAGCATGGTTTTTATACCAGCTGACTAGACCCCCACTTTTTTTTCCATATGTTGACAAGTGATAAGAAAACCTTGCTACAAGTTATGGAGTCAGTCTACATATTCAATTTTAATGGTTTTTCCTATCAATAGATTCAGTTTGAAACCAAGTTGAAAGGGGGCTGTGTTGATAAAAGACCTGTTTCTGATTGATCTTTGAATGCTGATAAAAAACCATGATAAAAATATCTCAACAGAAGAAAAAAAGGATTGAATTATGTTTGAGACAAACCCAAAAATATCGGTTATACTTTCAGTAATTTCTATCCGCAGGTCACATATGGCAAGGATCAAGAAATTCATCACCACTTGAACCATCTTTGAAGGTTGTGCAACAATGGAATTTCAGCCCCCAAGGCTTGCCTGTTGAACTTGGGAAGAGACACCAATGGAGTGTTTGATAAACAAGCCCTGTTACATTGCTTGGCATACAAGATGAGATCATCTAAAACAAGTTATAACCACGCAGCTATGAAAATATTATCATGATACAAGATTTTCAACCTTGTTTTATCTTGAAACATTTAGGTCATCAAGTGTTCACTGCATTCACTGCAAACGTTCTTGGTGTTGAGATCTTTAGATGTGTTGAGTTTGTCCAAAATTTGGATTGTATCATGTTGGGTTAGAGTCTGTCTCAAAGGCCCATACATGCTGCTCAAGAACACCTGAATCAAAATGTGTATCCTGGTTGAGCAGGAGTTGCTGAACCTCAGAGCATTTCAACCTAGCTCACACTGCGCTTGTACTCTCCCTTCTGATGACCAAAGACTGGTTGATGATGTTTTGATAAGACAATGTGGGTGTTTGATCATTGAACATATGCACTGGTTCACACATCTCCTTTGGACTATTGTTTCCCATGATTTGACAACTTTTCCAACAGTCAAACTCTTTTTTCTTTCATACTTGCATAGCCAACAAAGATATATAACTGACACTACGGACCACTGATAATTAGGTGCCAATGGCCATGTTGCAACTGAGAAAGAGAGGGGGACAAAATCACAATTGGAAAGCAATTTCTCACAAAGATGGCTAAAGGTTGAACAAACCATTCAATTCAAAATTCAAAAGCACCATTAATAAAAATAGTGAGTGAGACCTATTATCCCAATTCCCAAAACCTGAACATCATCGCCTTCAAAAAGAAAGCTTACCTGTAAATTGGAACTTAGCAAATCTAAAGTCATTTAAACCCAGGGCCAATCCAACTTCTATTCCAAGTCTAAATCCTATATCTGTTACACCATCAACTTCAACTTTGATTTCTATGTCTTGACCACCACGGGAACCACCATCAAATAAAAGATAAAAGATAAATTCTATTTTATGATTATATATTTGTCCTTTCTTTTTCTTCTTCTTTTATTTATATTCAGGGAAAAATCTCACTTGAATTACATTTTTTCCCTCTCTTGTTTATCTTTAATCTAGGCTTTGAAGTCAGATGGTACACATTTTTTATTTCTTTGTTTTTTGTTTTTGTACATGTACATACATATGATTTTGTTTTACTTTATCAGATCTTTAAGCTTTAGAGAATCAAAATCAAGATCACAATCAAACTCCATTGTCATTTTTTTGGTAAACCACAACTAAATTGAATCATATGGAAAAAGGCAAGAGAGAGGGAATCAGATAGAGAGAGAGGGATCAAGAAAATCAACTCTAGTTTTAATAATCACATGTTTACCTCAAACAGACATTCATAAGTCACTAAAAGATGAATTGGTTATAAATTGAATCCTTCCCTTCCAAGTAACAAAAGAAGGCATGCGTAAAGAAACACACAGGAAACAAGGGACAATTTTCCCGCGGGAAAACCAATTGTATCTGACTCAGTTAATGAGCCAAAATGTATTATTTTGGTGTTATATCTGTGTTATTTATACATTATGGCTCAGAAACTACATTATGTGTAATCGGTCTTCCTGCGGGAAAATTGTCTCTTGTTTCCTGTGACAAGTGATAAGAATCCAGACTTCAAATCAACAAAACAGGCTCCTACTACATTACCTTTCTTTCCTTCCTTATATGGACCCAAAACCCCAGGCCCATATGAACCAGTACTCTTTGTACTGATATGTTGGGTCATTAGCTGTAATATCCTTATGAAGAAACCTTTGAAACCTCTACACTTGTTCTGAACCATGAGTATTTTTATCATATGTTGTTCTCAAGTTAATCAGTAAAATAATCAACTTCCCAGCATGTGATCCAGTTTACATACCAAGTTTAGGAAATATGATTATCTTATGATCTTTTCTACCCATGAAGAATAAGTCCTAGTATCACGGTCAATCTAGAAAAAAGATCACTCTTGTGATTTCCGTTGACTTTTTCCCATCTTCTTTTCCAAACCTAATTTTTCATGGTGTTTGATCCTGAAGCTTTCAACAAAAAGTTTTCAGAGAAGAATATTTTCTTCTCTGATCAATGTAGTTAAAGAAGAAGAGTGAATCTGTTTTTCTAGTGGTGTCTTGAATTTTTAAGGAAAGAACATGATGCAATTGCAAATCACATCACAGAGAAAACTAGTTCAGATTTCTCTTTGTTTGTGTAGCATACCATACCATTCCTCAAGGTAAGACTATCAAATAAACTTGATAAATTTCTTCCACATCCAAATCTCTTTGCTTAAAAGAGTATGTGGTGCCTTAAGTTCAAAAGGTATATCTTCCAACTGTCCTCTTTTTGATTTTCCAATCCTTTGTTAAATCAATCCCTTATGTCTTTCTAGCTGATTTGGTTTTTCTTTAGTGTTTTCCACTTTAGAGTTTTCATTAACAATTGGATCACCTTTTTTCAAAATGGTCCAAGAAACCTGGGTTCTAGTCTACCCATGTTTATGTTTCCCTGGTACAGCTTTTGTTGGGAGAGTTATTGTTAAGTGCTCTCATGATTGAAGTTCTTAAGCTCCTTTCAAATTGGTCAATTTCTTCTTATGTTATTAGTAGTTTGATTTTCAAAAAAAAAACATGTATAGTCACACGGTCCAAAATTGAGGATTGTACACTTTCCCATATTCTCCAAAAAGATTGTTTCTTTTTCAGATTCCTTTAATTGAAAATTTTGGTAGTGCTTCAGCTGAAAAGCAGGAAGAAAAGGGAAAGAATTTGAAAGTAAAATTGAACAAACATTGAAAAAAAAACAAGAAAATTTAATGTGAGCATCTATTTTTGCCCCTGTGCTAGTTCTATCGGGAAGGGTCACAAGCTTGGACCTTTTGCCAAATTTTTCCTTCATCCTTTCTTACTTGTTCTGTGGTTGGTGTTTTATCTTTGGATCTTACTTTGAAGGTGTCAATCAAAGAATGCTGCTCAGGGTTGAAATCAGAAGACCTTATTTGAAATCAAGACCCAGATTAGAGCAGATCACACTTCAGCACCACTTCTCATCATAAAAAAACCTTAACCACAAATCTTAGCCACCTACACTGTCACAATACCTCAACAAAAAAGCATAACAAGCTTTTTCAAAAACCTACTGTAATATAATTGATTAATCATCATCAAGAAAAACCAAAAAAAATGTAGATACAAAATCAACAAAAACCTATTAAGCAAAAAAAAAATGGTTGAAAAATTAAAATCAGTATTATAAGATGTTTATAAATTGTAAATAATCACATCATATACCAAAAAAGAAAGAAAAAGAAAGAAAAAGAAGTGTATATATAAATACAACAATTTTTTTCAACTTTTTTCTTTTCTAACACAAGTAAACATTAATCTAATCTAAATGAAATTGGAAAAATGTAAAATGAAATTATATTATTTTTTTGTTGGCCCATCAATTAATTCTTTTTTTCTTCTTTTCTTTTTTCTTTTTCAAAAAAAAGTCAATTGATTTTTTTTCTGTTTTGATAAGTTAAATGAAATCTTAATGAAATAATGATGAATGATACAATTACTTTTTAATTATAAAAGAAAGATATAAAAAGAAAAATATAAGAGAAAGATATAAAACAGAAAGATAAGAAAGAAAGATCAAAAAGAAAACATATAAAAAAGAAAGATAAAAAAGTATACAAAAGTATATAAAAAAGTATACAAAAGTATATATAAAAGTATCAAAAAGTATATGAAAAAAGTATATGAAAAAAGTATATGAAAAAAGTATATGAAAAAAGTATATGAAAAAAGTTATATAAAAGTTATATAAAAGTTATATAAAAGTTATATAAAAGTTATATAAAAGTCATATAAAAGTCATATATAAAAATGTGTATAGAAAAAATTGTATAAAATGTATTCAAATGAAACCCCATGAAATCCAAAAATCCAAATCCCAAAAAGACCCCAAAAAAGATTTACATGAAAAAAAAAATTATCTGTTCAAACAAAAAAAAAAACTCATCTGTTCTAACAAAAAAAAATTAATCATTAAAATTCAAAAAAAATTCAGAAAAAAAATTAATCCTCAATCTCATCAATTTCAACTTCATCCTCATCTTCTTCCACTACATTCCTTTCTCCTTCCACTTCATTCCTTTCTTCTGCCACTTCATTCTTTTCTTCTATCACTCCATTCCCTTCACCCTCATCCCTATCTCTCTCCTCATCCCTATCCCTATCCTCATCCCTACTGCCTCTTGAATCACTATTTTGATCATGATCATGATCTTGATCTTGATGATTAAGAACAGTAGACCTAAAAGAACTAACCGGAGTTTCCAAACCTTTATTCTTCATCCCTACTCCCAACCCAACTCCCATCCCCATGCCCATTCCCATTCCCATCCCTACTCCCATTCCCATCCCTACTCCCATTCCCATCCCAACTCCCATTCCCATCCCAAAAAAGTTCGACTTAAACGGATGCTTAGCCGAGCTCAAAATCTCCTTCACAGAGCTCAACCTAATCTCCTTACCCCCATTCCCAATCCCATTCCTCCCAATCCCAATCCCATTCCTCCCGTTCCCCCCATTCCTCTTCTTTTCCAATTCTTGATCATCTATAATCCCTCCAATAATCGGTGCTAATCTCAAACTCTCTTCTTCTCTTCTTTCCTCCTTTTCCCCTCCTAGTCCCATCATCATCAATTCTTCTGGTCTTGTTCTCTTTATCAATGGTAGAGCTGGTAAACTATATTTTCTGGTTCCCGTTCCAGGCATGTTTCTTTCGATCGGTCTTCCAAATGTTTGATCGGTTTCATCTAAGATTGGTTTTGAAAATACTAAACCTAAACCGATCCACCCAGGAAAAAAATTCATCAATATCTCAAAATCAAAATAAACAAACGATTATCATCAAAACTTACTTTCGTTGATTGAACTAATACTCCTCAATGATCCAGGTGAAGAACCCATATCTCCTTCACCAACTCTTCTTTTCTTATGACCTAAAGATAACGAAGCAGGATACCTCAAAGGATTCGATAATGATGTTGATGAAGAAGGTGATTGTATTGGTTGACCGCTTGGTCCAGGTTGATGATGAGGATGATGAAGATCCAAACTAGTTCGATGAACAGAAGACGTTTCTCGATTTCTAGTTCCCCATTTATCCTGTTCGACCAATAAACCTTGAGACCGTTTATACAAACCTGATTCTTTAGTACCATTCCATGGTGATGAAGAAGCAGTAGCAGAAGAAGAAGCATGTCTGATCCCTCCTACTTTCACACGTGACATGGTAACTGTCATCAGATCTTCAGTAGGCGAATGATGATATCCCGTTCGATTAGGTGATGAAGCGTATTGAGGACTAGAAGAAAGTGTTGTAGAAGATTGTTGACTACGACAATAATTAGCATGACTAACGGTTCGGATGCCAGGTACACGAGGCGCCGATGAGATCGGATGATGATGATTGATAGTATTAGCCGAGATATTGATGGTAGGTGTAGCTGTAAGACTAGAAGGACCAGCTCTCATAGATTCTTCTTCATTTGATTTCACCCTTTTCGTCACACTCGATCCACCGTGAGCCACTTTAGCACGTCTTTGACTCGGATCACGATTCACTTGTTGAGGAGTACTGATCGGATTTGACTTTTTCTTAAATCCTCCATTCACAAATTGATCTTCTGCACCCGGTGCGATAGCCCAAAAAGATCCTTTACCCGGTTCGTTTGGACCACGTGGAAGTTTAATAAAACTTTCATTTAACGAAAGATTATGTCGAATCGAATTTTGCCATCCTGCTTCATCCTTACGATAATACGAATAATTATGCATAATATAGGCATAGATATCATTCAAACAAACTTTTTTAAATTCAGAACAATTGATGGCTTGTCCAATCAAAGCTGCATAACTATAGGTTGGTTTATCATTCATGCCTCCTGAGTTAGAATCAGATTGGGATGAGGTTGCTAAAGGTGAGATGGCTAAAGGTGAAAAGGTAGGTCGATCGGTATTAGTAGCTTGAGAACTAGAAGGTAAGAGTTTTGATGGTGAAGGTCGAGCTGAACTGAGGGGTGATCGAAGAAGTGAGCTAGGTTGAGGATTGGGTGAGTGCTTCAAATCAGTCTTGGGTGAGGTCAATGTATTTGTTTCTGCTTTAGACTGAGCGCGCTCATTTGTGAAAGCATATGAATTTGAAGAATGTAAGAGTTTGGAGACACTTGATTGAGAGGTACAAGTGAGTGGAGTTCGAACCGGTGATTGAAATGGGGGTGGTGTAAGAGCCGTTCTGATTCTAGAAAGTGGATTTGATGGTACTTGAGTAGGAGCAGATGGAGTAGGTGAAGAATGATCAAGTGGTACTGAGTGTGATGTGAAGCTAACGGGTGAAGGGGAATCCGATGAACAGAGCGTGATAGGATTACGTGGAGGTGAGATTGAACTACCACTCCTCTGTGAGCGAAGAAGAGGATGAGATTGAAGATGCTCGGGGGCCGAAAGGATCGGTGGGAGTGGGTTGGAAAAAGATGGCGAATGATTTGAGATGCGAGTAAGAGAATCAGTCCTTCCAGGAGTGAATTTGGATGGACTAGAATGATCTGATTTCTTGTGTGCTGATTCACAAGTGGTAGGTCGAGGCGGAGGATGCATTGTAGGCCTAGGATGGGTTTCCTCAGCCATTGATTTCTTGAGATGACTAGATTGATGGAGTTGGTGATCAGGTTTCTGGATAGACAGACTGTTAGTGATCAAATCTGAGGTGATATAAGCAATATTGCGTACCAGACTTCTTGGACTATTAATTTGCGGAGAGCTAGCTTGGATAGCTTGGTCAGTAGATCTATCAGGATTGACAGGTTCAGCAGAACGGGCGCGTCGATTAGAGAGAGTAGATGAATTGATGTTTGATTCTGAATCAGAGATTGAAAGATGATGAGTGTGAGAAGCTGAGTGAGAATGTAAGATAGGAATAGATGAAGTGTTGTTGTGTTGTTGTTGTTGTTGTTGTGATGAATGAAAAGTTGAAAGTTTTCTTGGTATTTTGATTGAGTTGATTGGATTTGAAAGTGATTCAAACTGATTAAGATTTCTATGATCGATTTGAGTAGAAAGTGAATGAGAATCTAGAAAGGTTAATGGTCTTTCTTCTGGCATTTTTATGAGATTGATAGTAGTAGTGATTTAAACCAATCGGATGATCATAGTTTTGAATGAAGTTGTGATGGATTGATTGATTGATAGATTGATTACTACGATGAGAAATCAAAAGAATTGAAGATGAAGTGGAGTAGTGAATGGTGTGATAGATTGATTAAGTTGTTATGATACAGATCTGATCTCGTTCTGTTTGATTGGTGATTGATGAGTGAATGTGTTTTTTTATTTTTCTTTCATGGTTGTCTGAGTTTTGATTTGATTTGATTTGATTTGATTTGATGAGTTGGTTGTTATAGTATTGATTGAGTGATTGGTTGGTTGGTTTAGTGATGATATTCTTTCTGATCTCTTGGTTTAAGTCTTCGAAGTGAATTTCTTGTTTTGATTTAGATTTGGATTTTGATTTCGCTTTGTTGATTTCGATTTCGATTTGGATTGGAATTTGAATTTGAATTTGAATTTGAATTTGGATGATATTGATAATCGATAGCGCATGTATGTGCTATGCTATCTGCTAATAAGTGTTTTTGTTTTTGTTTGTTATTCTGATTTTTTAGTCTTAAGTATCTATTCAATACACTTCAATCAAACCTTATCTATCAATTCACTTCTCTTAAAAAAAAGTGGGGAAATCATAAGAAATTGTGGAGATACGAAATTCCTACATATAGGGGATACAAAGTTGAAATCCGGCCGAAAATCCGGCCGCGTGGCCAGATTTCCAGATTCCATTTTTTTCTGGCCACGACTTGAAATTTGGCAAAAAGAGAAATCAACAGATCACTGGCCAGTTCTTCACTCACCTCAATTCCATATCCGACTCAACACCTCAATCTCAAGATTTTCATTCTCATCCAACACCAGGCACCCAGAAATCCTTCCTTACACTCTGAGTCAAATCGATCTTCATTACATTCTCATTCTCATTCAAATCAACCTTATCCTCCTTTATGGAATTCAACTAATCATCGAGATCGAGTGAAGATTACGGATTTTTTGAATAAAGGACAATTAACTTCAATGGTACAACAGATCGGTAACAGATCATTTTTCTTCTCTTGATTAATACTTTAAAAATCATATTCGATCTGATTTAAATCTAATCTACTCTTTTGGTTTTGGTTTTGTTTTCTCTTTAGCTGCTTCATATCAATTAAAAACACTTGAACCTGCGATTTTAGATGTTTTAACTCAAGCTGCAGAACAAAGACTCTTTCAAACCTGTGGATGAATGAAACTGGCAGACAATAGCAGTTGATCTTAGTCCAAAGACATCCTCAATCTAGAAGTTTTGTTAAAGAGTCACTTTTCGGAACTCTGAATTTTGCATTAGATCCTTTGTATAATCTTTTCACACACGAATCAAATCAAAGAAGGATACAGATAAGTTTAAGAATAGTCAGACCAGATGGAATCTTTGTGAGAATTGAAGTCAAGAGTTGGTCTTGTTTCATCAATCGAAAGATTTGAGATTGATCTATCATAAGGTTCATGTTGTGATTGATTAAATTGTAAGTTTGGTTGACCGAGAAAGCTGCCTTCTTTCAATTCTTGTCAGTTACAGCAATTTGATGGATTTGTAAGGCTTGAATCATGCGTAAGAAAAATCTATCCCGGCGAGATTGACTTGAAACATTGCAAGTGAGTCTAGGTTGTTCTGAACATACGCCTTTCTTGCATGTCGTGCTGTTTGAATGGACCTCTTGAGGGCTATTTTGCGATGGTATCGAGTTGTTGCTATGTGAAGTGGGGGCGAGTCGTCGATATTGGATGTGGGACTGGTGGTGTAGTGGAAAGTTGGCATGGAACTTGAAGTCGGGGGATTCAAAGTTGAGAGAATCCGGACTCATGTCCAGATTCCGAATTACCGCAAAAAATGGAATCTGGAAATCTGGCCACGCGGCCGGATTTTCGGCCGGATTTCAACTTTGTATCCCCTAATACAAACAACTCCATCCATCTCTCCATCTCATTCAAATCTTAAAACTAGTTTCAATCTTCTTCATTGTGATTCTCATTCATCTGTTTCTGGGAGCACTTGAGGATCAGGGTTTTTTTCCTGATAATTCGTGAGAATGTGATAGTGAGAAAATCGTGAGAAATACAGCATACATTCCACTCAATAACAGCATACGTACAAGCATCCAGAGAGGTACGTCTGAAAGTCAGAAACCTCCCTCCTAGCTAGCACGTGATCGCGTGCAGCACATGTCATTGACCCTGACACCTCCAACCGTGGAGCGTCCTTCCCTTTTCGTCTTCATACCTCACCACCAAAAAAGTGAAGAAAAATTTGCACGCGACAGCAACCAGACCCATTCGGACCATGGACACGACACAAGACCCCTACCCACCCACCCAACGCACCAGTTTTTTTGGTTCGGCAACGATTTACACTTTCGAACCATACCCAGCATACGGTTGGCTAATCATTCATTCAACTCTTTACTTGATCTGCATTCCGCTTGACTGGACTGCACTCCTCCCGGCGAGATACTACTACCGCGGCCCCTTGCATTTAGAGATCACATCTCCAAAGAAAGGCATCACGGCTATTACTGTCAAAACGATTCATTGGTAACTTCCTTCTTCATCCTCGTCTTCCATCGATATAGTTGGTTCACTACGCTGACACCCTGACCTATACGTTCACTTTTGCATATTAGTTGACCTCGACCGATGGGTCTTACGTTAATCCATTCCGAGTACACTTTTGTTACGCCCGGGTTCCTTCCTGCACCTGGTCGAGGTAGGGCGGTCGGAATCTACTGTCCGGTCTGCTCAGCTCCGCTCAAATACTTCAATCCAAAACTAGACGCGTGGTAGATTGGTGTAAGTCCTCTAGAATTCATTCCTTGGACTTACATATTGAAGATATTTATTGATTTATCTCATTACAGTGCCCTATGTCGCTGAAGCACAACACACGCACCTGGCGGTGTGACCAATTTAATCACGAGAGGAATTTGATCAACCGTGGCGTCCCGACCCCAATCATCTCCACTGAACAAGATTGGGGGCCACGCGTTACGACTACCGGAGACATTCTTGACGCAGTTCCCGCCGTTCCCCAAACCGGGTTTGTTCCCCAAACCGCCTTTGGGCAATTCCAGCAACCTTTCTTCGAACACCCTTTCCAAGGACGCACAGTAGGACCTATGACCCCAAGCCAAATCAACCCAAGCCAACCCACATGGCCGTTTTTCCCTCCAGATCAGGTCGACCCACCTCATCCTACCGCTTCCACGTTGGACGCGATATCAGGACCTCACCTCACTGCCCCTTCAATCCCATGCGCAAGAGAGCGACAGGGACCTACGCCCAAGGGACATCGCAAGATGGCTAACAAGAAGTGCCGCTTCCAATATTGTCAGGCGGTAGGTTGTGTGGTCTCCACCTTTCTCTCCGTAACACACCTGACCGTCAGTTTCCTTCCTTGACCGCTGCAGTGTTGCAACACCTACGGCCCAGGACCTTGCCGTAGTCACCCTCACCCAAAAACAAACACGAATATGATTGCGATTGCGAACCCTGCCCCGTTTACCGACAAAAAAGCCAAAAGTCGACCCACTCAGCCTCGCCCTCATCAATGGGCACAATCCTCCAACTCCCTTGGTCGCCGACTGCCTTTGGATAGTATGGTTACTCTCCACAAGGCTCGCGCCCAACAATACCAAAAACAATCTGTGACCACTGATTTTGACAACACCAAAATAGTTACAATCTACCTTTGGTTGAATGTGAGTGACGATACAAACACTCCCTACTTCCAACTTGTCACACCTGACCATAATTTCCTCCCTGCCAGGAAATCCAACCTGAAATCCTTGCAGCGTATTTCAAAAACTGGCCTCAAGCGTGTCTCGAGGAATGTGACCTTTTGATGCAGGCGGTGTAGAACTCCTACGCTGTGTGGCGTAGGCTGAGCCGGAGAGGGGAAGAATCACCGCGCAGAAAGAATAACCACGCAGATGAAACTATGGTTGTTGTAAACTGCCCTCAACCTTTTCTAAAAAGTTCAAGAAAATAAAAAAATCAACACCGAAACAACTCTTTAACAATTTTATATCTTCACAATTATAACCAGCAACCCTATTCTAATATTTCTGAAAGATCCGCAAGATCTGGCGGATCTCAATGATATACTTCACACCACTACACAAGATGTTGATGAAAAACTATGTTGAATTCTAGTTTTATTGTAATTCTTACTATGTGTAAAAAAAAATAAAACTTAGATAACTTATGAAGAGCAAAAAGATAGGTGGAAGGAAATAAAATTTTCTTAACCCAAGTGTAATTTTTAACAGGACTACCCTAAAAAAATAAAATTTCTAAAAAAACTATCTAAGACCTATAAGGGAATTGAACCAAGGATCCGGGCTTGGCCCTGCGGATGACCTTTCACGTGAGGTGAAATGTAGCAGAATAAAAAAATAAAAATGAAAAAACTATTCACCCCTTGACCCAGCTCAGCAAACACCACCGACTTCGATCTTTCAACTACAAAAAACAACACTAACACCCAATGGATACGATAATAGGATTAGCTGAGCTTTTGAAATAACAACAGTCAGACACTTCTCAACTTCACACTTCAAACAAAACAATCCTCAACTACTTTAAAATCTTTTTAAAGAAAAACTATCGATAATACGCTTAACACTTTTAAAACGAATAACTCAAAGACTTATATTTTTTTTAAAAGACTATCTCTTTCTTTTCTCTAGATGAATCACAAAAAAAAGAAAAACACACAGATTTCACACACACAGACACGAACGAGACAAAAAAAACGAGACCGATACATTTAAGAAAAAACCTCCTGATCACTCCCTCCTCCCTTTCCAATTTCGACTTCATCTCCAATCGGGCCTCTATGTTCAAATCACGACATCACCAGATTCACTTTGATTTTCGATTTAGTTTTATTTCAAAACAGCTAAGTACCCTGTTTTTTACTGCTCATCCTTTTATTAACTTGTTCATGATCTGTGTTGACTCCCTTTTTTTTTCTTTCTTTCACTCATCTCTTCTCTCTAGTTGTTTAGATTTCGATTTTCAGGACCTCTCGATCGCACTTCATCCTCAAGCTCCAGCTCGATCTTCACACCATCGATTTACAATGTAAGTTCAATTTCTTTTCTCTCCTTCTACACTATCCCATCCTTGACTTTATGTATTTAGATTTCGATTTTGACATCATTTAAGTAAGTTTCTTTTCCCATTCACTTCTTTGTTTGTTCTCATACTGACTCCTTTACCTCCTTTCTTTGTTTTCATTAGTTTTAACTTTGGACCTCAAAATCGAATTCCTATTTAGTTTCAATTTCGATTCTGATCTTTGATTTAGATCTTGATAAATATGTAAGTCTTTTCTCTCTTAACTTTCTTTCTACTATTCATCTTGCACAACACTGACACCACCCTCTTTCTCTATCTCAATTTAAACCCTCAAAATCGATCCTTCTATTAAGTTTTTCATTAGTTTTAACTTCAGACCTCAAAATCGAATGTCTATTCTGTTTCCTTTTTTTTTCTATTCTTATTGTATCTGATGAATAGATTGATGGATTCAGTTTCGATTCTGACCTTTGATCTTCATCTTCATTTAAGTAAGTTCTTTCATTTCTTTATCTTTGTTTGTTCTTGTTTACTAACTTTATCTTCTTTGTTTAAAATTTTGATTCCCTTTTCATTTCGCTTCTAGGTATCTATTTGATAAGTTGAAACAAAAGCTTCCATAGGACCCCTCTATCTCGATCACTACTCAACTCTAACCACCTTCACTTCAATATCAATCAATTCAGTCTCTAACTACACCAACTCCATTTCGATCTCAGCCTGTTTCAACTACAATCTTCATAAACATTCAATTCAATTTCGATCTTGAGCTCTGATCTATCTTGTAAGTCTTTTGTTACTTTCTCTTTCATCTTTGTCTATCTAGATTTTGATTTTGAGGTCTGTTCTTAACATTTTTCTCCACTCTCTTACACAATAATGACAAGTTATATTGTTTCTTTATTTGTCTGTCATTCGATTTTGAACTTTGCATCAATTGTTTAAGATTAATTCATTTAAATTTGATTGTAGGCCTTCTTAATCAATTTTCAACTCTCTTGACTTCAATTTTAATTTCGACTTCTTGATCATTTAGGTAAGTTTTTTGTTCCTTCTATTCTGTTGCATCATTTAAACTGACTTCTCCACTTTCTCCTGACTTGCTTTAATGTTAGTTCATAGCTGCATAGATTCCAATTTCAATTCTTGACTTCTTTCTTGTAGATCAACTGTTTGGGGATTGATTAATCTACTAGGTGAGTTTTCATTCTTGATTCATCAATTCTAATCTTATTTGTGTAACATCAATGTTGACATTTTCAATTTTTGACCCTCTTTTTTTTTCCAAGGTATGTATGTATCTCATTTATTTATCTTTTTTGTATGCATTGTTTTTATTTGAACTTCTATGTCTGTATAAAATATACCATTTTGAATGTAAGATTGATGTTCATTGAGAATAACAAGATCCATATAGTGATAATTTGAATTGAAATGATGATTTTGATTATTTGTCTTGAGTCCACATGCCTTGATAAAAATTGAAGAGTGTGATTTATGGATCTTTTCTTTTTTCTGTTGTGAGTTGATCTAATGTAATAATAAAAAAATGATATGAGATTAAGACGTGATCATAGGAATTGCTTTCCACAGCGGTTCAGGGTCAGGTCGGCAATATGTGGAATCAAGCTATCTGCTTGTGGGATGCCACCATTGACTCTTGGGTAAGTGCGGTATGTTTCAACTATATAGTTGGATTTCGGTTCACCCATATGTCTTTTGCCTCCAGCGCGAGATCCCGGTGGCCCTTCCCCATCAATATCCCGCCTGTAACCGTACCATTGTGGTTCGCCTGGCCAAGGTGAACCCTCGGACCCCAGGTTTACCACAGAGAACGCCTGTGATTCCAGTCCCAGACCCGAGCGCCGTGATGCGCCTTTCCACATTGCCCTCAACGTCCTCCCAGCCTATGCCTTCCACACCCGACCTCCAGCACGCCAGCACGTCAGCCAGCTCCCGCCAGGGAACTCCTTCGGGCCAGAAGCAAACTGAAGTTGAATTGGGCATGGCGACCCCCACAGAACACACGCATGCACATGTAGTTCCGACACCGCATAAGAAGTACATTGACCTAACTCGCTCGCCATCTCCGGTCTCACCTTGTACACGCCAAGCGGGCGCCCCTTTCCAGGTGGTCAAACGCGAAAACATCAAAAACTCCCCTCCGCTTCCGCTTCCCCCCACTCTGTTTGACGATGCAACCCCTCAGGGTCAAGTAAGCACATCCTCCATCACGAAAATCCCAGAGAAGATGTGGCCATTGACTCACTGTTACCTTTTGTTTCCCTAGGTTTCAAGCAATTCGATGGCCAATCCAGACGTGAGGGTCCCAAACCATCGGGACCTCCAACTGGGATGGCCATCGAATTCCGTGCTTGTGTCCAGTCTTCTGGCGTGGCACAACGAGGCGCAAACAAGTGACATCCTTGCAGCTTGGAAGAACCATTTTGGACACGAATGGAAAATGGTACCTTCAACAGTTTACAGGTATCGTGCTTGGATAAATGAGGTCAACAAGGCAGGTCATGACCGCTTTGCGGCCCCATATCAATTTCAGCCCTCAGCGATGGTAGGCCAGGCACGCGTCCATTTCAGGGTTGAGTTCAATGTGGTCGCCAAGGTAGGCAAGCTTGCGAAGGCAACCAATGATGAAATCTCCGCCACCGAGAATCCTCATGAACGTTGAAGTGAATATGATTATTCACACTATGACTACTGAATATGATTATTCACACTATGACTATTTCTCCCCCAAAAAAAAATTACATTAGTATTTGTTTTTATCCTCTAAAGCTCCATTCTTATGAAAGTGAAAGTGACCTCGACACATTCAAAGATATCGTACTTTATTTTTTTGCCGCGTGATAATTCTCCTCTTCACTTTTTGTTTCTTGTTTGGTTGTGTTTGGGTATAAATATCAATTCATATTGTTTTTTTTGGATTATTATTATCCACATCAATCCGTAACAGAAGTGTGGATAACTCGTGAATGTTATGGTTTTATATTATAACAGGAAACCAACAACACGGGTAAGCAACATAGAATGGGATTGACGTGCAACAGCCATAAATTCACACACAGCAGCACAGCAGCAAAGGTCCAAACTAAGCTGCACAGAAATTATAGTCAGATGCTTCCTTTGAAGCATGAATTTGCTTGCTTGTGTAAGATAAACAAGTTTAAAGCTTGTGTAAGACAATGGGTCATATTGTTCATCTTAAATCCTTTTAATAAATATATATATATTAATTAAAAGGATTTTGGTTGGATTGGAATGCCTACCTAACTATAATAACCCTGACTAATCACATTTCTTTTGTAACTTGAGCTTCATTACTTTGGGTGCAAATATATAGACTGTGACTGTGAACCACTTGAATGACCACCTAATTGTATATTTATTTAAGATATATGCAGTTGCAACTATCTGCATATTCTACTGTTATGCAAAACCACCTTATTACACTACACCAAATGTAATCTTTACCGGGCAGTAAAGAAAACTACTGACATAGAAAAGTCCTGAGGCAACAGGAAGAGAGCTAAAAATCTGAAAAAATATGCACCTTGTTCCTAGATGTTGGGGCGTCATGATGAGTATTTTTTTGCATTTTACATGCAGATATTGGTTTATGTACTAACAATAAACACTGAAAATCATCAAAAACTCACATGTAACAATACCTGAAATTTGGGTCATGAGTATGAAGACAATATTTTGTGGTCTAAAAACTTCAATAACTTTTGCAATTCTGCTCCAAATAACTCGATTTTTGGTTCATTCAAAAGCTGAACTATTCTCCTTCACACTTCATAATGTCAGTAAGGTGCTATCTAGTCATTTAAACACTCTACATATGTTCAAACAGTTCTACATGAATAGCTCTGTAGGATCTTTTTTAGACCAGCTACAGATGTGATGTCTCAATGAAAAATGTAGAGGAAAGGCTCACCTTTTTAATGCACTTCAAATCGAGTGATTTGTTTCAGAACTGCAAAAGTTATTGATGTTTGAAGATTCCAAAATCCTGTCTTCAAAGTCAAGGGCCAAATTTCAGGTATTGTTACAGGTGGGTTTTTGATGATTCTCAGCCTTTATTGTTAGTACATTAACCAATATCTGTGTGTAAAATACAAAAAAAAACTCATCATGACGCCCCAACATCTAGGAACAAGGTGCATATTTTTTCAGATTTTTAGCTCTCTTCCTGTTGCCTCAGGACTTTTCTATGTCAGTAGTTTTCTTTACCGCCTGGTAAAGATGACATTTTGTGTAGTGTTATTATTCACTCACTGTGAATAATAATAATCACGTGAATGTAAACGTGATTATCTCTCAACTTATAATAAACTGCTGATGAGAGAGATAATCCCGTATCATCACGTATCACGGGAACATTCAAGTTAGGTGTGGATTGTGTTGTGCCACTCAACCACAGGAGATTTCATTCACATTCACTCAGTCTACAACGAATAATTTTTTTGGTTCTTGTTTGACCCAGCCAGGCAGAAAATCACAATTGATTACAACAAGCTCTGAACATGGTTGTAATTCATACGAACCGGTTTAGTTGGGATGCATTGATGACTGAACCAACCGCTTAGTTTGTGGTTAAATCTCAAGGGCGAGCAGAATAGCTCACCTTACATAAATAATAAACAATATCCCCAAAAGATAATCTGCAACCCCTGCCCGCATTTCTCATTCATCAATCAATATCTTATCCTCCCCAAAGCAAACAATTTCGAAATATATGGATTCTCAGTTACCTTTGCGATTCAGTAGCCTTTTTTGGACCAAAGATGAAGTAAGCAACATCAACACGCAGATGTTAGTTAAAAACACATGGGTCTGACCACACCTTATATGGATAGATCTTCGCCGCCAAAAGTGACATATTTAGATACTTTGTGACCGACGTGATTACCAATCACCACAGTCCCCGAGGAATTCCTTTGAAAATCACTGCCAGGAGGAACCAGAGCGAACTCCAAAAATCCCGCGCTTATAGGATCGAAGGACAAGTGGCGATTCATGGTAATGACAACCAGCCCTTACTTTTGGAGGACTCCCCAAGCACGATCGCCATTGGTAATGCGGAACTGAGACTCAACTCTATGGTTAACCAAGTATTAGCCCAAGGCCTCGGTCAAATAGTTGAATGGTCACGCAGGGAGGGGGAGGGATTACCCATCGAAGTTATTAAGGTGATGCATAGATGCTGGAATGACACGGTGAGTCATTCTCAGCTGAGCGTATTTCTTACGCCGAGTGTTTGGATATAACCCCACTTATCTATTCCTTGCATGAAAATCAAGCGGCGCATTGAATTCCACGCGACCTACTTGCTGGACACTAATATCACCTCTAAACTCACCATGAATGCCCTGGCTGAAGGCAACATCATCAGCTTGCGTGGGCGTGTCGTGGCGTATACCAACACTTGGGAGATAGAGGTAAGCAATTATCCTCTTAACTCTATTCCGTGTCAAGGTCATTGATGCAGGGCAAGATATCAGGCCACGGAAATTCAACTCATTCATTTCGAAGGCGATAACATTGCCATTTTGATGGCCAAGCCTGATCATCAATTGCGGAGGAGCAGACGACAGCGTGGACTGCTCCCAATATAGGAACCAACCCACATCAAAGTTATCGTGCTCCAGGGACATCTCACTCACTTGACACCGCTGATACTTCTGGAAATTATTTTGCGGTTCTCTATCCACGTGGTTGTCTATCCACGTTTCCACTGTCACCTATCCACTGTAGATAGCATGTAGATACATGTAGATACTATGTTAAAAAATTCCAATGTTACAATATGAATATTATCAAACATCACATTGGAAATGTGAGTTTGATTGAGGCTTCAGCTTCAACACCATGGCTATTAGATCATGCGTTCCGGACTTGTCATCTGCTATTCTCATTCGCACACTCACTGTTGAGGTCACGGCCTCAAAGAACAAGGATCATGCACTTTACACAACATATATACAACTAGTTGCCACGACGGGGACTGAAAGGCCATCCAGTAATAGATCCAGAAGGAAGTGTGTTCTCCTGTGTGTTCTCCAACACACGTACGGTCTAATGCCCAAAATCACATGAGGTTCTGACCGTGTCGATTCACCCATGACTTATTCGGCCAGCTTGGTAATTGAAAAGTTGCGCACCTGTGTGTGTCGCTTTTGGTCAATACTTGCTCGCTAATACTTGCTCGCAGAGGGTGTAAGCAGTCAGGATTACTTACCTTGACAATGAACCGATTGGACACAGGATCTTTCTTGAAGACAGTTCCATTCAGCCACATCGTCGCCCCCGCTTGAATAGGGCCCCATTTGGACCTATGTGGGGTTATATGTCCAAAGACATATGTGATTGCGAATTCTAACATGATTTCGCCCTGTGATTGAAGATAATTTAGCACTGTTTGATTGAATCAGATGAAAAATAGGTTGACTTACTACCGAGTCATACCATTCGTGTTTGGCATTGACAGTCAAATTCCAGCCACCTTCAATCTCGGGATCTTCAGCATAAGATACATTGAGCAGGAGACCAAGGCCATTGACAAGAGCTTTGCCTGCCAAGTCGTCTAGATCGGCACCGTGGGTCCCTACCTCGGTCTTTGTGGCGGAATGATATTTGATGACATTCTCGCCAGTCATCAAGTCTTGCCCAAAAGGGCCCACAAGAACATAGGTCCTGCCTCGTTTGAGTGTGTCAGGGCCCCACACATGACCTATAGCTTTGAGGGGTTCAATGACATGCCCGGTTTCGTTGGAATCTTTCAACGACAGAGACGTGTTGGCTGTGTGCCAACCAAACTGGCTGTCTTCGAAGTCAATGCGAACGCCCTGCGTCACGAACAGGATTATTAACCAACCAACATGCAAACGACTATCTTTACTAACAAGGGAAAATGAAGCTTACATCAGCAGTACTAGGAACAATGGCGGTCATGATCGTAGTGAAAGAGTTTTCGAGTTCCATGATGATGCAGAGAGGTAAATACGGGGATTTTTTATGAGATCAATGGCGCTTGGTTAATGTTAATGTACTCTGATCCGACTCATCAATAGGTATTTTATTTATACCTATTGATGGGTGGGTTCTACATGGTGTCGCTGGAAGGCTGGTAACAACAGCCAGGTGTTGCGCATGATGAGCGCATGTGTGGTGTTCCGCCATGCCTAAAGGGCTAAAGCAAAGGTGTTGAGCTTCAGCGAGCCTTGGTTGGATCACGATTGGGGACTCTAGCCATATGTCTTTGCGATGTAGAATGCCATGCACGCAACCAAAAGAAAAAGAAAGGCTTCGTACCCTTACCTCGCGACGCTCGCTCGTTGTTTATGAATGACCAGCGGTCAGTCAGTCAAAGCAAATATCAAAACGCCGTTGAAGATGGGTCCCCTGTTGGGGGCAAATCTTAGACCGCGTGGCGTTTGCCTTGCCTTTGGCCATAATGTTCTCGGTGATCGCTCTCACTCAGAGATTACTTAGAAAATCTTGGAAGGCAAGTGTAATGCAAGCACGCAAGAGGCAATGTATATATATATATATACTTGCTTACATGACTAGTGGTTTTTTACTTCAATAGACATGGTTACCAAGCAAAGACAGGAAAGATAGCTATACAATCTGATAAACCGGAAAACTTTTGCGAACATTCAGACAAGACCGTCAATTGAATCGAAAGTACCCCATCAAAGTACCCCATTACCAAAGAATTCCATTCCCGGACGCTTGACCAGCTTATTGGCAAGCCATTCATTCCTGAGTGCCACCATCTCTTCAAGAAAGAAATTGTATTTGACTGAGTGCATGTTTCGGCACATTGAAGCAAATCCGCCATACCATATATTGGTCAATTCCGCGGCCGAGGCGTTGAAAATCCATTTCCCCTCGTCTTGGATATCAGGGAACAGGCTGGGGTTGGTGAAACGCTGACAGAAGTCATCGCTGCCCGCATGGGAGCGATGGTGGAAAGGGTCCACTGGTATGACACTGCCTTGGAACCGGCTCGCATCGACCGCCCCGTGATAAATATGTTCAGTCAGCCGACACGCGTTGTCGTAGAAGACCACCTCAGGGATGCCTTGTGGGAAGGACTCTTCCAAGAAGGCCTAGAGGAGAAGATAACTGTATGAATGATATATAGCCTTCCAGAATCAATATACATACAAACTCACCTTGACGGCACTGACCGACTCCGAGTGGTAGAACGTTTTACAGGCCAAAATCATACCGCAAGGCCCTACAATGAGTTGATCATTGTGTGTGCGTCGACGGCTGAGGCATACCTTATTTTTTTCTTGCGATTGGCCTCCGTCACGCGCGCCTTCGTGTGCCCTATTGGACTCGTCAGCTTGTTGCAAGCTGGCCAGATCTTCAAAATCCCCAGTGTCCGCATTCAAATGAACGGTCGCATCTGAAGGCAGGTTCGAACCGGGGCGATTTAGGATTGCGGTGAGTGAAAAATTCCCTTGTACTCGTTCTTCAAACGCTTGCATTGCCTTCACGTGAGCTTCCTGTGCACAAGTCTTTGAACCAGGTTGACATGACGCCCGGCACGGTTGAGCCTGGCAACAATTACCCAGGATTTGTTCGTGTAGAGGACAGAACCGGTCGTTTATATTGTCGAGACGATTGATGCAAGGCCCTTCGGGGGGCGGATTCCCTGCGATCTGAGCTAATTCTTCGAGCTGCTCAGTCGTCGCACTACATTGCCAGTGGCCTATAGTCAGACCGTCGGTCACCACGGCGCGAATGCCTGCATCAAGCGTGTAATCAAAATGAGACGTATGTGATGTAGAAAAGTCATAGGTATTTGCGCACCTATGAGGACCTCCGCGCCGGTCTCAGGATCAATTCCACCTGGTTTAATACGGACACAACGTGAGCAGAAGTGATCCCGGTCGCGGGTGCCCTCGACGGCCAGAAGGTCCAAGTGCTCGCCCATAGCTTCTTCGAAGCAAAGGTGATCGGTTCCACTTGCGGTTACCGTGAGCTGCGTCCCCCGACGGTCTGCGTGGTCCAAAAGTGATTGTAGGTCCAGCCCATCACTACAAACGGCCTCAGACATGGCCGGTGTAAAGCCTTGATTGGGGTCAAAATGAGGGATATCACAGCTGTCGACAAAAGTCCTGTTGTACCAGTTGACTAAGTTGAAGTGCGACACACTTCAAAATCAAGGATGAGTCCCACAACGTACGTAAGAACACAGAAACAGCGCCACCGAAAAAGAAACCAAACATATCACCTACTGAGCTAGAAATTGAATTCCCCGTAACATGCTGTGCAATTGCCGTGTCATGTAATAATGGCAATGGACATGAAGGATATCTTGATCTCGCCCCATGTCCAACTTGTAGTAGCAACGCTTACCATCCCGCGTGAAGTAGCTAGGTCGATAGGACGTCGCACAGAGGGGATCTGAAAATCAACGATGTTAAGTCAGAAGGCGTCATCCAGCCAGAAGAGCACCTGAAGTGGAAAAGTGGACGCTTGCCTGGACATCGCGTGACTGTGGTCACAGCAGTGTGTACGCCGTCCGAATCAAATATGTAACCATTAAGCCGGGAGTGGACGTGCAGGTTTGGTGCTTTTGGGCAGACAAGGCATCGGGACACAGGAGCACGTAAGTGTTTTTCAGCGACTTTGCATTTCAGATTTCGGAGGCCCAACGATCGGATGCATTCAGAAGGATTGATACGCGAAGAAGGCAAGATGTCAAAGGCTAAACTCCATATCGGTTGAATGAGGTGGTGAGGGAATTCGGGAGTTAGCGTGGCCACGAAGAAAGGGATCAGAGGAAGACGTGTAGGTGTGAGTCGGAGACCATGTCCGGCGGTGTGCTGGACTTTGGAAGCGAGAGCAATGAACCGCACAAAGCCGGCAACCGTGAGTGTCGAGCTAAGTTCGGGTGTGGTTGTCGTGAGGTGTGCTACAAAGTCGGTCAGTAGCATTGCGAGGATTGATTTGTTTGAACCGATTTTCGAGATTTGGGTGGTTGAGCTGTGTGGACACGCGCCAGAGGGCGAGATGAGGCGAGATGAGACTCAGGTGTAGAGGGGTTGTGGCGCTCGCGACGCGAGGCGTGACAGGGACACCTTTCACAGGTCGGCCTGCCCACAAGTGGGCCTGGCGACAAAGAGATCATAACGTAAGACACTTATCTTAAGGCAGGTAGTCGGTCGGTAACTGGTTAAAGCTTGGGGCACTGTCTATGTGTACGTCCCTGTACTCAACCCATGATCCTATGGGGTTGGGGGGGTTTCTCAGGATTATCACGAAAATCTGAAACTTATCAGTCAAACCCCGATCCTATAGTCTACCGCTGTTTCTAAAACTTCATTTCCTTTAACTTGTTTCATCTTCTTATTCAATCTCCTTCAAACTCTTATCTTTGTCTCAAGGGGTTTCACCAATCAGAATCTCTTTCAAAAAGACATACAACACCACATGGTAACTTTTCATTCAGATACCAGCATCAAAGTGCTTGTGTCACAATCTGACCAAACTCTGACCAGAATTTCAGACATTCTGGTGGGTTGAACAATACCTGCTGTTTTATGGCCAACAGGTGAAAATCTGACCAGAAATCAGCCCATTGCACAGCCAGTCAGTCTGGCAAAAGCTCTACCAGCCCTTTGGTGAGTAAAAGAAGGTCAAGGGTTCAAGGAACATCAAATCAGAGGCTCTGAAATTAAACTTCTTTTTTCACATTTGTTTCCATAGACATGGGTCTCACCATTTTTTTCTTATTTGTAGAAGGGCAGAACTCCTAGAATATATTCTTTGGTTTGGGGCTCTTCACCATCTCCATCACCACTGGTGCCTCAACCTGCATGGGGCAGCACTGCCAACATAAATGCCTTGGGTTGAGAAACCTGAAGCATCATTGGAGGTAAATCCTTGGACAGACCTTGTCCAAGGTTTTGATCCAAGGTAATCTTCTGCGCTGAGAATTACCTTAGATCAAAACCTTGGAAAGCTTCTTAGAATCCAAGAATACATTTGATCAAAAAATCAAAGGTATGTATGTTGGTGGTGTAGATGGTGTGGCTATGGGCAGAAACAGAGAGGTTCTCAGAACAGCTCCCACATGATTAGTAGCATCCAAACCTTTCTCATAAACAGTAAATAAGCTGCCAAATAGCCCATCTTACAGTGGCCAGCCAATCTTGTTGCTTGACTACCACTCTCTTGACCATCTTGCCACACCTGTCCACCACCAAGCTAATCTGGCCATATGGCAGTACTTTATGCTCAAAGAACAACAGTCTGGAATTACCGTGCAATAGGTCTGTGACCCATCCCTGAGCATACCCAAAGGGATTTAGAAATCACTCAGGGCCAATCAGGGTGTGCCTTGAATTAATTATGGTTGCTAGTGCCAAGAAGCATAAGATGTCAGACTGGGTATTTACATGAGCAGATGAGTGGGGCAGCTGGAGCACTCACAAGGCTTCTAGGATTACTTTTGGCTTATTTCAGTGCCCCAGCCCACAGAGTGCCTCTTTCCAAGAAAGTTGTGGGCAGAATTGGCCAGACAGTGCTGGGGTCTGGTCATAGCCTCCCCAGTGGTGTATGTATGTAACAACTTTGAGCCAGCTGAACTATACCACACCATTAGAAACCTGCTAACTAGGTCACTAACACAATTGTTTCCCTTTAGATTCAGACCGTTTCAGAATTTTAGAAATTTGAGTAGTAGGCTTTTCCTCCAATTCCATATAGCATAGCATAGTTGAATTCCTTGATCCAGAAATCAGTCTGGCAGTAGTATAACATAAGTTTATGTTGCATATTGCTTCAATCCACACCAACAGATTTTTTTACAAAGGTTGTATAAGATTTGCAAATTGGAATCCAATTGTTCAAGACTGATAATTTCTAAAACAAAGCTTCTTTAAGTCTAACTCTAGGGTTATCACCACTATAAACATTTTGGAATGTGATGTTCCTCTAGATGTGATGGTATATAGTTG